TTACTGATTTGACAATATCCCTGCAATTGTCTTACAGGAATGTGCTCTTGAACTGGCTCCTTTTCTCCCCAAACTTTACAATAAATGCTTCGCTACATCTTGCTTTTCGGTTTGTTCAAAGTCCTTCTCTGTAGTTCCTATCTTTAAGAACTTTGGAAAACTATCTGACCCCTCGGAATACCGCCCTATTAGTCATTCTTTTTTTTCTTTTCTTTTTTTTTTTTGCAACATGCTAGAGGTTCTAATTAATGCCAAATCTGTTAAGCCTCTTACTTCACACGACCACCTTTCGGATAAACTATATGGCTTACATTTCTCCAGTTCTACAGCTGATGTGTTAATGACCATCAATGAATTTGTCTACCAAGCTTTGTACCTCCACTTGGTCATGTAAAAAGCAGCATAGCATGATGAAAAAAGGCCCCAAACTCAATAAAAACAAAGTTTTGTCATCATAATGTGTGTTAAGAAGAAAGACCAAAGTATTTTTTATTAATATTTTAATACTTTTAACTTACTCCTTTGTAGTACATTGTAAATTTTCATTAAAAATCTTGTTTTGTTTTTTTTTACGTCAGCAGTGGACCAAAGATAAAGGTTAGGTTTTTTTGGGGGGTAGGGGTGTTTTTCCAGTGAAAAACAAATTGATTTGGAAATTCTTGCAAAATTCAAATAATTGTCAGATTTTAATGAAACTTTCAGGACATATTCAGGAATGAATTAAATTATTTTTGAAATTTTTCTTTTTAGAATATCTTGTTAAAAAGATTTTTTTTTTCGTTTTTTTTTAAATTTACCACCCACTTACTTAATTTAATGAAATTTGGAGAAATTAAATTTCTAAAGGGAGTTTTTTTTTTATTAGTTAAAAACAAGAAAATCATCAATTTTTTTTTTTTTTTTTGTAAAACAGTTACCCGTTTCATCAAAAATCTGCTCTGAATTGTAAAATAAAAAAAAATGCAATAAAACTATGACATTATTTAATTAGAAAAGCTTTTAATTGTTTTTGTAAATAAGTTATATTAAGGACACTATTGTCTGAAGAATAAATTTTTTTCAATGAATAATAAATTTTTACAAGAATATTTTTCATTTTTTTAAAATTTTAATTATAACAGTATAATAGTTCAAAAATTATTTAAAATTCCTCATTGTTTTCAAGACAGCGGTTTGGTGATATCACTAAGTGAGAAATACATTGAAGAATCAAAATTTTAAAAGCACATAACAGTCGTTTGTACCTAAATATTTTTTTAAAAATTAAAAAAAAAAAAATTCCTAATTTCTACCTATGGGAATCTATACATGACATAATCCTTAAAAAGGTTATGTGATTTGTGTCGTCTAATGCACTGCAATTATTTCACTTTTAATTCAGTTCTGTTTCATCATTAACATCTTTGCAAATCATCCCTTCAAAATATAAAAAAAAAGTTTTACTTTTCTTAATTGCTATTTCACTAAATATTTTTATTTTATGTATTTATTTTAGTTTGGGTCATATGTCAATTAATTAATTTTTTGTTTAATTTAGTAAACTGAAGAACCTAGAGATGAAATGCAAATTTCATAAAGCTTCTTAAAAACTTAACTAAAAGTCAATAAAATATTAAATAATTGCTATGTTAATTTGTAAAAATTATTAGGTAGTTAAAAGCTAAAAAAAATGCATTCATGTAGGTTTCGTAAATTTATGTCATTTCTGCTCATCCATGAGAGCTGTCATCACCTTGAGAGCTTCTCAATAAATCAATAAAGATCAAAGAAAGAGGAACCCATCATTAAGAAATGCTTGTATATTGGTTTTTTATGCTATAAGTAAGTAATATTTATTTCAAATCAGATTAATTTAACTTTAAATTTTCTAATTTTACTCAAATAATGTCATATATCTATAATTTAATTTTGAAAGATTTTTAAAAACTGATAAATTTGTTTTACGAATTTCTTAAAATTAAAAATAATTTAACCCAAATAAGTAAATAAACGACTTCCAGTAAAATAACCGCCATAATAGACTACCCACAATGTACCACTGACCAGTATATATATAGCCGAGAAAAATAACAGCACTCGTGGCCTGACAATTGCATCTAGCATGAAACAGACTGTTGCCTCTAAGTGTTGACTTCTATGTTCACTTTTATATTTACAGACGCTCTATCTCTGATATTGAGCACTTTATCCCATAAATATAGCACATCTTAAGACTATATTTCTTTATATATATATATATATATATATATATATATATATATATACGTGTGTGTATGCATTTGTGTGTATATATTGTGTGTGTATGCATTTATACATTGTGTGTTTGCATATATTATATGGAATGGAAATATTGGAAAAAATCTGGAGCACAGATTTATATTTTGATAAGATTTCATAGTGGAACTTTCAAGAATTTTCATTCTAAGTTACTTTCTGTCTTAATAAGTGTGGCATTCTTTAGATCAAAGTTGTGATTGAATTTATTTCTATGTAAAACTAATGCATTTGATAAACTGTTGTATATAAGTTCTCTTTGGTGTTCATAAATGATTTTTTTTTAAATTCTTCAAGTTTTCTGACAAATTATTTTATATATACCTGCTTCAGAATTATTAATAATAATAATTATAATCCTGTACAAAATACAATATAGAGGAAATTTATTTGTTAAAAATCAGGATCTTTTCAAAAGTGTTTGTATACGTATTCGACTTAAAAAAATAAAATGATTAGTCACTTGTGACACAGGGATCTCAGTGGGGTGGGTAATCAAACTAGAAAAAAAGAAAGAGGAAAGAGTCTAATAACTAGATGATAATTGTTGAAATTCGCAGGAAGATGGATTGAAAAGTTGAGAAGAAAATTAAAAATGAAATGCGTTGAAAAATCATGTTTCAAAACAGTAAGTGAACTCCCAAGTGGTTCCAAGGAGAATCAAAACCAAATTTAACGAGACATAATTCAGTAAGATTGAGCAAAATCAAGACCACCCTTCCTTCACTACTTCCCACTGATGAGAAATAGACCATTAATGTATACTCAAAGATGTCAAACAGAAAAACATGTTGTCAATAAAGAAACCCGGTGGTCACCAAAATAACATTTAAAGTTCATTCTGGACAAAAAAGCCAGAAAAATCATCTGGTTCGAATCGGCTACCCAGAAGAAAAGTGTCCCTACAAAGATAGAGATTAGCCTGACAGGTTCATTCTTTTTAATTTCTGTGACATTTGTTCTAGCAGGGAAGTTATCTGGATGGGCTCTAAACAAGTCCCTGGCTTTGGGAAATCACAGTGTAGGACAAGCTGATAAAGAAAGATGCATGACTGAACATCCCTTTTCACCTACATATTCTGAAAGTTTGGATTTGTCACAGTGGGCTGAGGTTAGATGCTAAGAAAGTAGAAGGAAGAAGAGAGAGAGATTAGCACCACCTACATTAGTGCAATCATGAGAGATGAGATGTGAAGTGAGTTGGAGTTAAGGCGCAGCTTGATTCCTTTGACCCCTCTCAAAAAAGGGCTGGACAACCCCCAAATTTGGAAAATCACTCAAGTAAACATATAACCAAACCCAAGCCCTGATCAATCCTACACCTGCCAGAAGCTGGAGGTTTGGATAAATTGAAGAGTTTTCACACTACTACTACTGGAATTCACATCATTTGCCGAGACAACCTGACCATGACCTTGTACCATCCCTGAAGACCAGAACTTAGAAATTAAAGTTACTATTTACAACAGATCATATATAAACCAAATCACTATTACATTTTTAACCCAACAAATGCCAGCTAAGTCAAGTGTAACCATGCTCATCATAATGATACCAGCAACAAACCAGCCACACATTAATGAGTTAGGAGTCAGCTAGATGGTAACCACAGTGGTCTAAAGAAGTTTGAGGACCAATCTCATCCAACACCATTTATTTTCAAAAATAATATAGTGTTCTTTAGTTGTTTTTTTTTTAAATAAAGCATCAGGAGGTCAATTGATAAAAATCACTTGATACCATAAAGTTGAGACAAGGTAGTGAATTCAACTGATCTCCTAATTTTTAAAAGTATATATATATAAATATATATATATATATATATATATATATATATATATATATAATGAGTTCAGACGATCCTTAAAAATCCATTAGGTTATAATTTATTTCATGAATATACAAAAATATATTCATCTCTTCTGATCAATGTTTTAAGGAAACATCAGTCTGAAGTAAATTATAACCTAATAGATTTTTAAGGATTGTCTGGACTCATTATTATATTGCTCTGTTCTTACATTGAGCTCTCATTTTGTCTTTTCTTAAACGAATCCAAGGCAAATCCTCATACAATCCTTCAGAATGGGTTGAAAAGTAAAAGATTTATGTTTTTGGTCTATCCATCCATTTCCATGTCGACAATATGAAATATAACAAATTGCCAAAAAAATGAAGAACTTAATTACTTGATAAATAAATATATTTTAAATACATTATTATTTGTTAATTTTATTATTTTCTCAGACTTCTTTTGTAACAACTGTTTTATGAACTGCATATTTCTATTTCAAAGTCACCCTTTGCCATTGGTTAATTTACTAGCTGTATTCAGTTCATACATACTGTTTAATTTCTTTAGACATTTTGGGCAGCAACTCATATAATGAAATATTTCTCAAGACAATAAAATACTTTCTCCTTTTAAATCCTACCTGCAGCTTATATCAGTAACTGCTTGGATTTCAAATGCTTTTTCAGATCAAGTTTCTCCAGCCAAAATGGACAAAGAAAATATTGCAGCCATTGCTACCACAGGTGCTCTGGCTGGGTCTTCTTACTTTCTCTGGAGGAAGATGCTTAGACCTAATCTGCGATTATTATATTATGACTTGTCTGACATATCAAAACTGATGGGGATTGGAAAAAAAATGATGGATGCTTTCAGTGCAGGCAATATTATTGGCATCTTTGAACGAACACTTAAACTCCATGCAAATAAAATAATGCTTGTGTTTGAGGGACAGAGTTATACATATGCTGATGTTGACAAGATATCAAACCGTATTGCGAATTTCTTGCTCTCACAAGGAATCAAAACCAACGACGTCATTGTGCTTGTCATTAGCAACAGCCCACAATTTATTTGGACATTTTTAGGTAGGTTTTTTGTTTTCTTTTCATTTTAATAAGATAAAGTGACTTGAATCTACAAACAAGTTTGGTATCATTATTTATATTCCCACATTCTGAATCGTTACTATCACATTTTTGTCTTTGTTTCTTAAAACTTTCTTTAGGACTGTTGATCTGGGTAACTAACCTTCAGTGAATTCCAAATCAAACACATTATTTAATCTATGTGGTAGACTGTTCTTGTTCCACTCTCTATGTCTAGAAATATTGCATCTTTTTTAGTACTACACAGTTATATCTCACTCTGTTTCCACTGAGTCTGGACTACTACAAGGATTGAACTCATAATTACTATGTCACCTAATTTACTCCAGGGACTGAACTCATAGTTATTATGCTGTCAAATTTATGAAGTAGCACAGCCTTAGTGGAATAAGTTCACGATAACTGAGCAGTACTGAAAAAAAAAGAATCTCACTAAATCTGGTCAGAAAAACAAGAACAATCTACTATTGTAGAATAAATAAAACATTCAATTTGAAAAGATTGTCAGACAATTAAAGAAAGCCAAAGGGTATATTGGCCAAAAACTTGTAAGAATAACAGCAATGATACAATAATTAGTCTAAGTAGTAGCAATAAAAGGCAACTGAAATTAAAGTGAAAGCAATACTAATGAAATTCAATGATAATTGAGAATGCTTCATCTAATAAATAATTCAAGATAATATTACAATTGATAATATTACTCAGTTCTATAAACAAACATGGCAGCACTGTATGTTTGTTAGGGAAATAAAGAATAAGGCTTTGTAGTTAGATTTAAGCTTCTGCTAATGTTACCTTTTATAGTTTAAATAGTAGGGTGACTGTGGAGATAAGATTACTTTCCTGACATGAAAGGGGTGCAAGTTTCTGTCTTACCAAAAGCACATTTTTTATTTTCTTTTTGGTAACAGAAGGTTTGTGTAGTTGTGAATAAAAAGCAAATGAAATTAGGATAAAAGAAATGTCAGTGAAAAAAAAATTAACACAATCTTTTATTTGGAATTCTAAAAACCAAAATTTTGGGGATCTCATATGCACACTAAAGTTTGTATTTGATGCCAAAATTTGACACAACATTAACTAATTCACACACACACACATGCATGCCCACATGCACACACACACACACACACACACACACACATATATATATATATATATATATATATATTTCAAGTATCAAAAGCCAGTGAAATATGAGTATCTTTTTATATTATTTTCATTTATATATATATATATATATATATATATATATATATATATATATATATATATATAGGAGATTAAAACAAAAATATGTTAAAAATCGCTACACAATAGCTTTTGTGTTTCAGCATTAAGTTGTGCCTCTTCAGGTGAAGGGTAAATAACTGGTGAGTAAACAATTATTTTTAATTTCAAAAGTGCAATACCCCGTCTTTTTTTGAAAGAAGAAAAAACGAGAAAACAGATTAGAATTAAAATGAGGATTGGTAAGTATACCCTGATTAACCAATCAAACATCAGACCTATGCTAAATTCAAAATTTACCTAATTGTAACATAGATTTTGTAGTTGAAAATTAAAAGGCAGCTTTAAGAAACCAGTGAGTGCAATTAAATCATTTCAAATTAAAAAAAATGTGGAACATCCATATAAGATGTTAATAATACTGAGTAGACAGCAATACATAGCTATATTAAATCTAACTAAACAAATTAAAATAATCACTCAAAGATGGTGCACTGCAATTTACTTACTAATTATGACCATATGAAATAGTACTACTAAATTCAAAGTTTAAATATATTGTAACTTTGAAGGTAAACTATGCCTAATTTACAGTTAATTCAATTCTTTGGTTTAATAGAGAATTTTTATCAGCAAATCTAGTAATTTCCAATTTCTCATGTAATCATAAGAAGCAAGGTTCATTTAAGGATTTACAAGTTCTAGCTTTTTTTAATACTTTTCATTTTACCATAGGAGTTTTATTAACCTCTTTCAAATTTCAAAAATATTTGGAAAGAGATGTTCTATTTTTATAAGTGATATTGGTGAAAGATATGTTGGTACCACCTAGTTTTAAAAGAATTCTTAGAACTCCCTATATAAAATTTTTCAACAGTTGGATTTTCTATTGTAGAAATAGTACTTAGGTAAACAAGAGAATTGGTCAGACATTTGTTTTGCATTGGGAAATTGTTAGAATTTCTGCAATTACATTTGTTGTATTATCAACATTAGTTACCTTGAAATTTATATTATTAGTCAGGTTTTTATATTGGACACTGGAATTATACTCCATATTATACCTGGATATATATATATATATATATATATATATATATATATATATATATATATATAGATAGATAGATGGAGCATGATAGGAATCTGACAAAATAACCAAAAACAACATACCATTAATCTGCACCTCTTTGCTTTTTATAATTTTTTTATCATTTCTGTCCTGATCTCTGATGAAGCTTTAATAAAGTGAAACATGTTAGATTGAGATCTGTTTCTTACATGTTCTCTATGTAAGAACCTTGATGTAAATTTACTGTGGATGATCTAGTGATTAAAGTCCTTTCTATACATTTTTGTCTCAGTAAATTGCTTTCTTTTTTAATTAAAGTAAGATTCTTTAAATCAAAATTATGCTCAAACATATTATGGTGAGCAGCTAATGCAATGAATGTGTCATTTTGTAAAAATTTCAGCATTAAATGACCCATAAGAAATTGATATGCCATTAAATCAATCCATGTTCTTATAAAATTTCACCTTTCTTAGCGAATCTTCTATTATCACAACGTGGGATATTTTTTACAGTAAGGATCACTCTGTACAAAGCCCCAGGACCACTCAGGCTAGATGGTTACAAAGTAGGAAGCAGGAGAAAATGGCTAACCTGAGACTTGAACAGGTTAAGATTGTAGTGATCAGAGAAACATTCTCTTGAGTCTACAGAGCAATGATTCAAAGGAAGAAGCTATTTGAGTGGAACTTACTTCTCACCATTGGAATACCGAGGGAATAAGGGTGGTTTATTACATTATGAGTAGCATGGCCGGTCCTAACCTGAAGCTTAGAACTGGTGGAACCAAGGAATACGGTTCATTCAAGCACTGTGGAAGAGGAGTTAAAGGATGAGAAATAATTTGTCCTCCACAAAGACTCAGAGTCTTTTTGTGATCAAAACTGGAAAATGACTCAGTAGCTCCCTCCCAAATATGGCAACAATATTCCATTTTCAGCCTGCTCTGGCTCTTCTAAAGGTCACATAAGGAGTCAGATACTTACTGGAGTGGTACAGGGAACTGACCATTTTTCCTACGTCTTTAATGATGGATCCTATGTACAAGTTCTACTTGATGTCAGAGGTGAGTTTAAAGCAAAATAGTCTCTCAAAGGGCCATACATTCATCATGACTGGCAGTAGTTTGGGGTCGGATCGGCAAAGATGGAAGGTAACTAGTTTGGTTTTCAAAGCATTAAATGTAACCAGCCAGTTTTTCCCTCATTGAGATGTTAGAGCTAGATCAGATGAGAAATCAGCTTCCAATCTCTGGTCATTACAAGTTTCAGATATTTTGTTTTATATTGGCATAGATATTCACAAATGATCTGGATATATTCTTAGGCAGATTATTTCTGTAAAGTAAAAAGATGGCTGTTCCAAAATGTGACCTCTGGGAGATGTCTGCATTAATTGCTAGGGCTCCAGAGGACTGGCTGTTAACAACTACCTTCAAGGACCTATCGATTAGGAAGAACTTTATAACTGATAAGACTCTCCCAGTAATTCTACGGATAACAAAAGTGATGGAAACATAAACTAAAAGAAAACAGAAATTAAATGAAATCAGTTAGACGATATGCCCAAAACACATATTCAGATTTTAAATTTTAGCATCCCCTCTCCTTCATGTGCATGGGTAATTGCAAAAACATAAATATCACTTTAATCCGATGAAGTACTAAAGTACAAAATGTGTTACACAAAAATTATACTTTTCATAGAAAACATGTGTCCTCCGACAGGAATCGAACATTTATCCAACACATAACCGTCATATAGCCTGACGTGCTATACCATTTAGCTACAAAGGAAGTGTCTGGTTAACAAAGTTAAATCAAGACTGCCACTCTATGTGGGCCTGTACAGCCATAATGGATGCTGCACCACCATCAGCAGCTGAGGCATAACAGTTTGGGCACTCTCTCAAAACCAACTGATGCCACACACACATATTCGTAAATAATTATATAGACCACACTGCAACATTTTTGACACGCAGACTCACTCTACACCTTTCTGACCATAGCTCAATTAGATCTCGTTTAAATATTCCTGGAGACCTACTGGACACTATTTGTAATATACTTGTTGACAACACAAATATAATAGCATCATCTACATGCAAAAAAAATGCTAAAAATAATGGAAGCCTTATTAATAAAAACAAAAGAAAACAACACTTAATAATATCATCTATGAACATGGACACAATATCTTCACCATGTTTTGAAAAATGAAAGCATTATATATAAATACATATATGCAACAAACTATTTCTTATTTAACAGCTGAAATGGCTAAATGTATAGCTAAAAGCGCTCGGATAAAAAGAACATTTGGAAAGGTTTTATACAATTTATCATCTGAAAAGAAAAAATTAATAGATTGCATGAGAAATTGTATAAAAAACTAAATAAAAGCACCTTGTCTGTTGTATTCAATGAAATGTGCATATATATATATATATATATATATATATATATATATACAGCGTGTCTGAAGTTATTATTCAAATCAAATTAACCTCAATAACTCAAAAAGTTCTGAACCAATATTTGTCAAATTTAAACTTATCCATTTCCACCCTTAGTAAAATATTTAACTATATTTTCTGCCATTTCTAATGTTTAGTTTTTCAGATATTTGAAATTTATGAAAATGGACTGATCAAAGTTTGTATGCAGATTAAACTAATATTAACTTAAGACCTCTGAACTCTAATAAAAACTATTTTTCTTATATCTGTTGAAACATGGGAAAAGGGAAGGATCTAACAACTGCTGAAAAACAGAAAATAACAAAGTTATTGAGTGACAGAATGTCCACATTGGAGATATCAAAGGTGCTTTGAAGAGATCATTAAACGATATATATATATATATATATATATATATATATATAAAGTTGAGAACTCAAAACAGAGGAAAAGGCTTTAAGTACTTGCTTCCTAAAGTGAGTTATAATGAAACAACCACTTTTGATCAGCACTCAGATCTTTGAAAAAGCTGGAATTGAGAATGTCAAGAAGGAGAAAAAGGTGTAGAATACTTTGGAAATTGGGATCTGTAAAATAATCTCCTAGGCAACATCCTTTTACTAAAGCAAATACTTAATAGTGTTAAAATTGGACCAAGAAATACATGAAAATTGACTTTTCTAAAGTTATTTTCACAGAGATGACATTTGATAGGCTTGATGAATAGGCCAAAAGATGGATTTTATCCAATTCAGACATGCTTGTGGCATAAAAGAAGGCAACAAGGAGATGGTAATGTTATGATATGCGCTGAAATTGTCAACCAAACCATTATTGAACCATTCAAAGACAATGAAGGAGTTAAACTGAAGAGCTAACTATTGTGATTTTACAAACAAGACTTTCTATGCATAAAGTACATATTTATGCATGACAATGCTTCTTCTCATGTATCTAAGCTTATCCATGAATTCTTTGAGCATAAATATTTATAGGAGGGAAGATAATGGATCTGAATCCAATCGAAAATCTATGGTCAATTGTGAAGATTAAATTATATGAAGGTAGCAAACAATATAACAGCAAAGTAGACCTATGGGAAGCAATTAAATCTACCGTGTCAGAAATTGAACCTGCTGAAATAAAAAGATTAACAAAATTAATGGATAACAGATTACTGGGTGTTATTGAGAAGAAGAGTCACTATATTAAAATGTAAAGGATTCAAATGCTTATTATGTGTTTGCTATTTGTACTATTATAGAGGTTGATCAATTTTTGCTTATTTTATTAACTTTTTTATTGAAGTAAAAGTATTTTCCTAATAACTTCAGATGGCAGTTTTTAGAATACATGAAATAACTTCAATAAAACATATAGTATTATTGATACTACCAAAGATTTTAACTCAGTTTTTGTTTTGACATCTAAATTGATTGTTTAAAATTTGACAATTTTTTAAAAACTAAATTTGAATTATTAAAGTTTATTTGATTTGCTTAATAACTTCAGACATTTTATATATATATATATATATATATATATATATATATATTCATTAAATCATTAACCAAGCTATCAAAGTTCTATGTCATTATGGAAAAATAAAAAATTTAATCATATTCCTTAGCAGCTTACAGTATAGAAGACCATAGTTAACATATTCAATTTGTTAGCTCCACCTAAGAACTAGTTTATATCTATTGAAAAAGCCAATTGAGTATTTTATATGATTTTTTTTCCCAGCTTTGAGGAAGATTGGTGCCATTCCATCATTAGTGAACCATAACCTCCAAGGAAAAGGATTGATCCATTCAATATTTATCTGTGAACCATGTATGATCATAATTGATAACTGTAAGTAAATAGTTTTTTTTAGTTACACAGCCAAATGTTTTATCAAACCTGTTTAATTTAATCAATAAAAGTAAAAATAAGATATTTTTTTAAATCTCATTATAACCTTTATAGAACAATATCAATTTGCTTCACCTTCTTCTACCCTCTTTTGTGGATGTGTGGGTGGTGCAGTGGATAGTGGCTCAGGATAAGAAATTGGAAAACTGAGTTTGAATTCCAGTTTGTTACAATAACTTACGTGCAAATAACCTTTGGAAAAGTATGAATTCATCCCCTCCAGCTATGGATTAAATACTGAGACTTGTATGTGAAAAAAAAAATCATTGTTTTTCTCAAAAGAATTGTTAATGCCATATCCACTTTCAGAAAAAAAAAATTATTCTTACAAGCAAAATATGTTTTAGCTTTAAATAACCATCAAACAATTGATAAGCCATAATAAACAATCAATCTGCCATTTTTTATTCAGTTTATGAATTCTTCCACATGTTTTATCTTTCCCAGCAATGACCTTGGTATCATTTGTAGTCATCCAGAGAATTCACAACTTTCATTAAATGAATTCTGAAAAGACTGGAATAGGAATCTAAAGGTGCAATATCTGGTAAATATGGTTGATGAAGGAAAACAAAGTTCTAACAATCTTTGCATAATTCTGTCTTGAATTATTTTATTAGAGTATTTCACATTACTTCTGGACATTTATCATTGATTGATGTCTTTAGTGAGTCTAATTGAGAATCTAATTGAGAGCTGTACTTGCTAGAATCAACCATTTACAGGAAAGTGCTCATATCAGAGAACTATCATCCAGTCCCAACATATACACAACATCATCTTCTTTGGGTGATGACAAGTCATTAGTATAATTAGAATGTGATTCATTTTGTTTACCTCTACCATCTCTTTCATTTTACATTATAGTAAAGTATTCACTTTTCATTGCCTATCACAATTTTGTTTCAGAAATGAAATATTTTTGTTACATTAAAGTTGCAAATTACTTATGGAAACTATACTTACTATAAGTTTTTTAACAATTAATGATAGTTGATTTTTCTTGTCCCACAATCTGTTTCATTCCACATTGTTGCAAGTACTCACTTTTCATTGCCTCAAAATAGAAAAAATTTAATTATCAAATCACAAGCTTCTGAGTTGTCACTCATTGTTCAGTTTTATAATCACTGAATGAAAAAATTTAGCCAAAATCAGAGTGCTGCCGTGATACCCAAGATGGACTTCCTTACAAAGTGAAGGGAATTTAATGCCTTACACATAGAAAAATACTTTCAGACGGGTAACTGGAAATTCATTGCCAAACAGCACCTCTCTATTTCACTAAGATACACCCAAATATCTGCAGCAATGATCAAGGAAAATGGATATTCTTTTTTGAAAGCCTATGTTTAAAAATTAAATCCAATCTCTCTCTCTCTCTCTCTCTCTCTCTCTTATATATATATATATATATATATGAGGAAGCACAGTGGAGTAATGGGTAGTGGCTCAGATTGAGGAATCAGAGAGCCAAATTCAAATTCCTGTTGAATCCATTATATTTACTTATGTGCTAATACCCTTGAGAAAAGTATGAATCCTTTTCTTCTCCACCCCCAGCTATGGGTAAATAGCAGGACAGACTGGATTCCATAGCCTTGAATAGCAACTGGTCTAGGGGAAAGGACAACTCTGAATTCGAAACCTGTGGAGGGTCATTTGGAGACCTTGTGTCATGTGGTGCACCAGGTCTCTGTATTCAGCCCTTCAAAAAGTGTGGATGGTTCTGCACAAATCCTTCATCGCTATAATAAAATCATACATGCATGTGTCTCGCTGTCAGTTCCTAGGAAATGAGTTGCTTGAATATGTTGAATATGACAGGAGAGTCCAGCATATATATATATATATATATATATATATATATATATATATATATACACATACGCACGCACACACACACACTAAAATTCACCCAATATAAAGCTTAAAAGCCATTCAAGGTAGAGGGTACTGTTAAAGTTGTCATAATGAATAAAGTTTGTGATATCAATAATAGGAAGAGGTGGTAGGAAGTGAAGATTATGAGGATAGATCACAATTGACCCTTTGCTTTAAAAGATTAAGATTGTCATGATCAGGAAAGCATCCATGTGTCTGTTCTACTAAGTAACAGTTTTGGGGAAAAAAGCTGTATAGTGGAAGGCTCGTGATGTTGTGTCTGTGGGAAAGAAACTGTAGAGTGGTTTCCTCAACATGACCAATTTATAATCCTATCAAAGCTGGGAAGTGAGCAGCTCCAGTACAAATATGACATCAATACGCCATTTCTTTTTGTCTAATCTGACTCTTGTAAAGATCATCATTATCATTCTTTGACCTCCCTGTGGTGGGTTGGAACTCAAAAATCCCTTTCCACACTGCTCAGTCCTGCATAACTGTACAACACTGAGTCTTGAGCCATGATGTTTGGAAAAGTCAACTTTTGTGAGATGACACCTCCAGAAGGATGCCATAAAAGTAAGGATGAATCAACCTCCCCGTCCACTCAGTGGCACTTTTGTTTGAGCTTAAGAGAGATTAGTCTCAGTTCTCCATAAATTGTATTAAGCTTTGCATGGGATTTCCAACTGATTTTTCTAGGCAGATTTGTATATGTTCCATCCAGTTGTCTTTCAATAAGAACAGATCAGGTCCAAGTTTCAAATCCATACAGTAGGACTGGTTCAATCAGTGTTCAAAAAGTTTGAACTTTTAAAAAGGATGGAAGGTTTGAGCACCAAATCTTGTCAAGTTCGTTACACACATCCCATGCAAGTGCTTTGTATAGATAAAGCATGACAGAAGTTGGGTATTTCCTCGAAGACTAGAATGAACCAATATTTGCGTATCTTTAGGAATAGATTGTATATCTGAGTTCTACTTGAGGTCTAGAGTGAAATTGAAAACCAAATACATGTCCAAAGTACAGTCTCTCATTAAGAGTGCAACTGTTCATCATGACTGGTGATAATTCAGGGCTTGACAATGAAACAAGCTTGTGAGGAATTATAAAATGTTACATCAACTAAACAGTTCATGAATGTATTTCTCTTTTGTTTCATCAGATGAGACAATTCAACAAAATATCTACAATGTAAGAGATCAACTTGTAAACATTCCTCTATTTGTGGTGAACACCCAAGAACCAACCTCACAGGTGACTTTAAAGGAACCAAGATGGCCTCTCCTTGACCCTCTGATAAAAGAAGCATCAGATGAACCCATTAGTCCTGATTATCGAAGTTCCCTTACTTTGTATGATAAATCATGTTATATATATACCTCTGGAACAACAGGTAAGTTTTCCTTGATTTTGATTCTCTTGGTATGATGTGTCCCCTTTTTTTTTTTTTTTAATCATTTCATCCCAAACAAAGCAATAAAGCCATTAAGACACAAGTGTTTACTAATAAAACAGGAGAAAAAAAAAGAAACTGTTGAAAATAGAGAACAATAAAAGAACAAGAATTAAGAGAGAAGATAATGATTGACATTGCATTTAAATGTTTGAAGATCAAAGTTGATTGGGAAGCAACAAGTCAGAAGAAAGTTTCAGAAGCAAGAATTACAACAGAAGAAACTGTTAGTTGTCTTTTTGCTATGCATCTCAGTCTCAGTTCTGCCATCCATTTTATACAAACTCATTAGATTTGGTTACTCACTGTTTCCCTCTTCCTTTCTTGCCTTCATTATATCCTCTGTGTGTCAAATTCTTCAAGTCAATTTCCTTCATTATGGATCCCAGTAAACTCAAGCATTTCTTTATGATACTAAGGGGCTTTTTGTTTTCTATTTTCCTGAAAATTTACTTCTTGCTCACATGTTCAAGGCATTCTCAGCATCATACTTATAAAACCCAGGTTGTGTGTGTGTGTCTGTACGTTTATATATTGGATCGGATTTCCTACATTTTTCAACTGATTTCAACAAAACTTCACAGGACTACGTTCTGACAGCACCAAAAATTGGAAAAACACAATTGTTTTTGCACAAAATCAATTTGAAAACATGATTAAGAGGCATCACAAGAATGAAAGGGGGACAACTCATATCGAGTTATACTTATTATAAAACCCAGGTTGTTTTTGTGTGTGTGTTTGTTTATATATGGGATCGGATTTCCTACATTTTTCAACCAATTTCAACAAAACTTCACTTTTTTTTAGCAGGTAGTGTTTCTTATTGTCTTGCACACTTTTTTCTTTATTTTTACATTCAGAATGCTTTAAAAATTCCATTTACAAGACAATTGCTTATAATAAAATTCTATTCAATCGGTAGACTCATAACGATTGAAAACAATGTTTTTGTTTGATTTTGGGTTTGACCAATTCGTAAAAAAAAAAAAAAAAAAATCTAATTAAGACATGCGTGTCCGTCAGCCTTAGACAATAATCTTTGTCAATTTTATTTTTTTGTCTTTATGATGGTCGATACTTGATCTATCTCTTACTGTTACATCCCCGGGCAACGCCGGGCTCTACTGCTAGTCTTTCTATAAAACTACATCTCTTTTGCCTTAAATTGCCTCTTCATTTGTTAGGAAATTGTCCAACATTCACTGCTATACAAGACAATTGATATTACGTAACAGTTCAGCATTCTGAATAAACTTTGTTTTTTGTTTTTTTCTTAATGCTTTCTTAACTTTTGGAAGGCATCTTTTGTTATTCCAATACACCTTCAGACTTCTATGTTATAGTTTCCATTGTCTATTAAAACTTTTCCCAGATAATTAAATTTCTGTTCATGCTTCATTTTGATAACTGCAGTTACTAGCTAACACCTTGTGCTGCCCTATTTGCTGACAACAATACATTTTGTCTTGTTATAGTCAGCTGTTTCTCTTTACTGGGTCCATAACACTTAAAGCTTTCTATTATACTAAGCTCGAATGTTGAAGTGATAGTTAGTAAACTAGTACTGCTAACTAGTTTTTTTCTATATTATCATCAATCTATCACTATGTACCACATATTTAGTAAATATTTTCTGCCCCTGTCAAGTCCATGGTATTCTCAACATCCTTCTGTAGCCTTTTCTGTATCTGAGAGGAGATTGTCCAACATTCACTGCCATATAAAAGAACTAATATTACATGACATCTGTGCAGAAAGAGGCAGCTGAATATTCTAAAACATGTTATGAGAAAAGAGGGCTTGAAAAATTTAACACTCACAGGGTATAATAAAGATAGGATGGGTACAGGGAAATAGTGAGCAACCTACCTAACGTGTTTGGTTGAATGGAGGGTAGAGTAGAAACAAAAAGGGATTGTAAAGAATCAAACACTGCTTAAAACAGCAAGGAATAGGAAATTGTGGAGAGCCATGATCGCACATTTCTTGAAGGGGTATGCAACATAAATATAATTATTATCAAGTGAACACTATCTCTACTAAAATCCTATTTAATGCCATTAAACATTAGGCCACTCACACCTCCACCAGTCCTGAGTATGGATGTTTTGAGGAGTGTTGAATCAACTCTTAATTCCTGTTCCCAGGTCCACCCTCCAGCTATGGACAAATAGTGAATCCCCCAAACAAAACAAAACACTATTAAAGTATAAAAATACCAGCAATACATTTTTATAGACTATTGGCCAGAATGTCCTGACTCATGTAGGAAGTGGAAAGAAAACAACAAATCTTGTTCTTTGTCTGGTAGAATTTCCAAGGTGTACTGCACTTTGAGCTTGTTCCACATGGTTGCGCCATCCATACTAAACTGTATTGCTAGCAGCTAGACCATGTGTACAAGAAACTAAAGAAGGAGTATCCTGCTTTGGTCAATTGAAGTCAGGATTTGTTTCAGCAAAACAGTGTGAGGCCACACCCTGCCAGTTTGACTAAGGAGAAGTTCCAACTAATGGACCGTGTTGAGATTCTTCCACATCCACCATTCAGTCCTGATGCTCAATGGAACACTCCCTCTGCGACCAGCGATTCAACACTTTTGATGAAGTGAAGGAAGCTTGTTTACAGTTTTTTGATTCAAAGCCAGCAGACTGGTATCTGGGACAGTTTCGGTTGCTGGCTGATCGCTGGCAGAAAATCATTGAGAATTATGGACTTTATTTTGAAGAATAAATGTGGGTGTTGCTCTATAAAATTTTGCTGTTTTCTTGATGCTTTTTTTAGTGAATCAGGATTTTCTGGCTAACCCAATAAAAAAAAATTACCAACATTACATATTTATAGTAAAATGACCAAAAGTATATATATATATATATATATATATATATAATGAAATGACCAGCAATACATTTTATAGTAGAATTACTTATAATACATTTTATACAAAATGACCAAAAAGACATTTTATCTTCAGTTTAAGGCATAAAACTATGTTCAAAATATTTAGATTTTGGCATTAAATAACCTACAAAGGTTGATATGCTGCTAAACAAAATCAACCAACCAATCAATCAATATGAACGAACTCTTTCATGACATTAATCCATATAATATCCTACAATCTCTGAAAGAAATCAAACTGTATTCCAAAATATGATTAAAAAAAAATTACAACATAAAACACACATAGCACTGCCTCCTAGTAATTATGTCCACACAAATATCTCTATGCACAAAAGCTGAGTTTTATCTACCATGTATTCAATTGTGAAAGCAGAATAACATATATCATATTTTTATTACTTCAAAACTCCCAAGAAAATTAAATTTCAGCATTAAATGACCCATGAAGGAGTTGATGTGTGGTTAAACAAACAAATCAAATCATTAAATCAATAACACCTCCACCGGTGGAATGTGGTTGTAATTTCTAAAAAGAAATGGATAGAAAGTAGAAATTTTTTTGTTACACTATTGTTCACCCAGTATAAGGCCAATGAGCCACTCAAAGTAGAGGCTTACCTAATGGGATTGTTTTATGAACATAAGGATTGTACATTATCAGGATATGTAAGATAATGTTTGACACAAGATTTGATGTAGTTAAAATTGTAGTGGTTGGAGATTCTCTTAAGTCTTATGAAAAAACAGTCCAAATGGAACTTTCTTTTTACCAATGGAATATGAAGGGAATGAGGATGATTCAAGGTGTAAAGATCAAAACTGGTAAAACTAGAGAATGTAGCACATCAGAAAATTTTCTATCGATATAGCAATAGAGTAGCACTAGATTTGTCTTTGGGAAAATGGTTGTAGGTTAGAAAAGAATCACTTTCAAAAATCTGTCAAGGCTGAAAAGAGAGGATTCAGCAGCAGAAAATGGATACTGTTTGAGCTTCAAAACTAGGATTAGAGAGAGACAGAGAGAGAAAAAAAAATAAAAGAAATCAATTCATAGTAAATGAACATGGGCTCATGTTTTCGAGGAGCTGACAAAGAAAAGAGAATTCTTTATCCAAATATTGATTCATTTAGGATAGGCCCAAGGACAGGACATAATATTAACTGTTATTTCCTCAATATTTGTCTACCATTCAGATATGTTTTCTGTATATCCATCCTGGGTATGACAATAAACTACATCCAGAAGCTAGGTGTTATAAAATAAAATAAGACATATCTTGGCTGATTTGAAGGCAAATAAACTAACATACTTAAGAGTGAGAGCCGGATGCAAACGGGACAAGGCCCTGTTACAAAATGACCATTATCGTCGTCTACACATCAGCCCAACGCACGAGTTCCGGTCGAAAAATAAAATAATATTTTAAAGTGTCTATTTTTTGACCAATAAAAATGCTTCCCTCCTAATTATACTTGTGTCGTTTTACAAGCCTGTTAAGCCATAAAAAACGCCATAAAAGAGATCACATGGGGAAGTACAACAACAGTCAACAGGAGGCCAGGGAAGAGATTGGTCATGGTCAGGCTGAGCAGCCAGCAGCAGTCAGCAGCAGTAGCACCACGTCAATCAGTGAGAACTACTATGAGAGATCAACCCAAACCAGGAGCCAGTTTATGATCTATACCACAAGGTAGCTGTCCCAAACCCACATGTTCCTATTGAAATAAATCACATAAATCTATTTCTGCTGTTGTCATATTTCCTTCTTGCAACCATACCCTTGTCTATAACAAAGGCCTCTGATTGGGAGGTTCTGAGGAGCGTGAAACCACCTCTTAATTGCTGTTGTTCCCAGGTCCACCCTGACCCAGTGTGGTAGCACCTGTTAGGATCCCAACAGTGATCAAATAGTTAATCCCCAGATTGGGGTCAAAACACAATGAAAGTATAAAAATACATATTCATAGTAAAAATACCAGAAATAGATTTTGAGAAAAAAAAAATTACCAGCAATATATTTTTACAAATGAAATTATTAATCCACTTAAGAAAATTAAATTTTGGCATTAAATGACTGTTAAGGGGTTGATATGAAGTTAAACAAACAAGCAGACCATTTTCTGTTGTTGTTAACAAGGTTGTGAGTTTTGTGTGTAATTTTAGGTGAAGGTGTATGTTTGAATCAAATCATGGTCACCTACTGTGGATGTTAATAATGGATTCTGATCACATGTGCAATTTTGTGACTCCACTTTCAGACAGGACAGAATCTTTCTCTTTCCACTTTCCATTGAGATCATTCAGGTGTGTTTTCAGCATCCCTTGTCATAAAGTAGAGATTTGGCCATCCCAACTAAGCATGAGGCTGACTTGAGCTCGACCATCTTTACCCATTCTTATCCTTACTTCCCATAAATATTTTCTGAATCAAAAAGGAAAACAGACATACTCAACAGACCTTTTAACTCAATAGTCAACATAAAAGAAATAAATGTCTGTAGCCAAAACACAAGTTTTTGTATACTTCTTCTATCTTCCTTGTTTATATATTGAACATACACACAAAACCTACAACCTTGTTAACATTCACAAGACTAATCATATTAACCCTAAAACAACTTGATTGTAGTAATAAAGAGGTGACAAGATAAAAGAAAAACTCATAAAAATTTAAGAATAACATTGTTGTTCTTTATTTCTTTTTTCATTCCCAGGTTTACCAAAAGCTGTGAATGTTTACATCCTGAAATCTCTCAGTGGTTCAGCATTCTGTTCACTTATCGGCAATACAAGTGACGATGTCATCTACTTGGCCTTACCTCTTTACCACACAAGTGGACTGATAATTGGTCTATTTGGTGCAATAGAATCTGGTAAGTCAGTCTGTTACTTGGGAAGAGAATATTTTAACTAAATTAACTATTCGCATAGTCAACTTTTATATCTGAATTTGATTCAAATGATCAATTTATTTTTTTTGTTTCTATTCAGTAGGATGTCATGCTTTTCCTAAAGTTATAAGTAGACAATTGCAATAAACAGAATCAGCTGGAATTTAAATCTGATTTATTGTGAAAAGAACAAGTACATATTGGTTAATAAGAAAATTTCTAAAACTTAGATTTTTAATCTGACTTTTCATATGTATGACCAGTTATCTCCCTTAGCCATTGGCAAACATTGGTTGTTGCGAGAAAACCATCCACTAAAATGGTGAATTTTTTCAATTTGAAAAGAGTAAATTTAGATTAAATTTAGGTTACAAACACACACATATGGGAAAAATCCTGTGACATGTTTTGTCCTTTGAAAGGACTTCTGTGTAAATAATATTTTTTAATATTTTTATAGGTGGGATCATATATATATGTAAAGGCAGGCAATGAAATGCGAACATCAGATATAATTAAAACTCAAGAGAAATGTTGAAGATGCAGAAAATTTAAATTAAAAATTTCTGATATTCAATGTGTCCAGAGGCAAAGCCTTAACCGGCCTTGGTGAGCTTCTGACTGCTTCTGTTTCTGTTTTAATCATTCTGGTTTTTAAATATCCTACATTGTAATAGCATTAGTTTTGTTTAGAAAGAAGCCATGTTATATGAATCAGAACCTAAATTTACTATGGAAGACTCAGAAATTAATGCACTTTCTATACAGTTTCACCTTAATAAATTACTTTCTCTTTTAATTAAAAAATACATTTTTTAGTCAAATTGATGGTTATATATAGTGACCTTGTGAATTAGGGGTATGTTTATCTGCAACTTTTGTCGTCAAGTACACGTAAAATTAAAAATGGAAATCCTGTTCTGATTTGAATGTTTGATATGAAGATAAGCAGACAAATACATGCACCTCCCCAGTCTTTTGAACTTTTTTTTATAAATTTCAACCAATCATCACATTAAATGTTTAGTCAATGAATGCCAAAGGTTTCCTGTATGGAAACGGATAATCTCACCATTGTCATTCACTTATCCACTATTGATCTGATAGGCTTTACATATATAGTTTGGACAAATATTCGTACACATACACATTTTTAATTTATTGTATTTCCAACTAATGAATAAACATGCTTTTCACTGTAAACAGATGCATAATAACTGAATATGCATAGAAAATAGAACAAAATTGATTTAATAGAAATAAATCCGATTTATCCACTTTAATGGATGAAAAATATTCATACAATACAAAAAAAGAATACATAATCTTCATTTAATACTTTGTAGAATAGCCATTATTCACTTCTACAGCAACCAACCTCTTCTTGTAGTTCTCAATTAATGATTTGCAAATTTTAGTTGGTATTTTGTTCCTTCATTTTTAACATAAAATCTTCAGATCCAAAATGCATAATTTTTGTTTTGTCTGTCCATAATACTCTTTGCCAATATGATTTTTCTTTATCCTTGTATTCATGAACGTATTTCAACCTAGCATATCTGTCTTTTTCAATAGCAGTGGAGTTTTTTGAGTGGTGTGTGGCTTTAGATTGCTCCTATAAAATTCATTGCTTATTGTCCGTTTAGTGACATAGATTTCTAGTGAAAGCACATCATCCTGCAACTCTTGATGAGTAACCATTGGATTTTGTTTAATTTGACACATTAATTTCCTCAATGATTTTGAAGACATCTCCTGTGGAGCACCTGTTCTTCTTTGGTTTTCAACAGTATTGAGTTTTTTATACCTTGCAATGAATGAACTAATGGTTGTAAATAGAATATTCTGGTTGTCTGAGATTTTCCTGTAACTTTTACCTTCTTTCCAGAGCTTAACAATCAGTTCTTTTTGCAAATTTGTCAATTCTTTACCTCTTGCCATGATGAAAACCTTCTTGCACAAATATCAATTACAAAATGTTGTTTGTATTTGTATAGATTAAAAATAACTACTGATAACATTATTGGTACATTCTAGAATATTCCACTTGAATAATTTAAAGTATTAAAGCAATTTAAAAGTTTTAAAATCTGAAATTTGCATTGTATAAATACTTTTTTCACCCACTAAAATGGATAAATGGAATTTATTTCTATTAAATCAAAATTTTTTTCTGTTTTCTATGCATATTTAGTTATTATGCATCTGTGTACAGTTAATTATATGAAAAGTATGTTTATACATCAGTTGGAAATACAATAAATGAAAATGTATGAATATTTGTTTCCACACACTGTATATATATATATATATATATATATATATATATATATATTAATAGGCATCTAGACAACTCACATTACACCTATCTGACCATAGCTCAATTAGGACTCATTTAAACACACATGGAAACCTATCAAACTCCATGTTCAACATACTAGTAGAAAATACAAGTATAATAGCCTCATCCACATATAAAAAGAGATAAAAAATAATGGAAGCACTAATAATGAAAAAGGAAAGCCAATACTCAATAACATTAAGTATGTACATGGCCACAATGTGCTAACCATATTTGGAAACTCTAATTAGTTTCTTGATATCGAGATGAAATCCATCACGAAAGGCACTGTAGTTTTTTTAACCCAATCATTTGGACCTTTTCTAAGATTATTTTCAGGAGTAAATTACAAATTATCATAACAGCAATAAAATCTGCATTCCATTGGCATGCATAAATGCACTGTTATAGTTCTTTTAGAATTCTTAAATTTTTATCCATTGTTGTCATGGAATTTTTACAAAACAAGCGTTTCAATATAAGGGAGCTGACTGGCAATTGGTAGAAATGTAAAATGGAATGTGTATATAAATGTCATATGCTTTTTAATATGTTGTTGCTATATTCATAATAAATTTTGTTGAGTGTTAGTTGATTTTGATATAGAGAGCCTCAGGAATTTCACATTTTTGTTTATTATTTTCATGCTAAGTATTTTTCTGTATTGTGAAGGTGGACAGGAATGTGCTTTTAGATGCTGTGCAATAGAACTTTATATATATATATATATATATATATATATATATATATATATATATAATACGTTTATCAATCTAACATGTTTCACTTTTATTAAAGCTTTGACACAAAGCTTTATAAAAAAGTGAAGCATATTAAATTGATAAACATTTCCTATTTGTTCTTTATCTTATCCTGTCAAATTCTGATCCATATTTGATCTACATTTGATCTTTAATTCATATATCTTTATATATATAAGTTAACTTATTCCTCTTATCAGGGGCTACAGCTGTATTGAAACGAAAATTTTCTGCTTCCAAATTCTGGTCTGACTGTTGTGAATACAATGTGACACATGTTCCATACATTGGAGAGTTTTGTCGATACATTCTAACACAACCAGATGTAAGTATTTCACTTCTTCTCTAAGAACTTCTTCCAGACAAATAATTGTGCCTCTTTTTTTCACTTCACTCACTATTTTTTTTTCAAAATCATCATACAATTTGTATCAGTTGATGATTGCTCCAAAGGACTTGCTTCAACATAAGAAAATATTTATGATCTACCAACAAGAATTTTATAATGCACTAAAAGCAGATGCCAGCAAAGTTTTTACAAGGAGCTAGATGAGCAAGACAAAGACAAATTAAGAATAATATATATATATATATGTGTGTGTGTGTGTGTGTGTATTACTATAAATGTATTTCAAAATCTTCCTCTTCAATTTACTTCAAAGGCTAATATATAATAAATATCATCAATTTTATTGCCAATTTTATTATCATTTTGTTGGCTTCTTATTCCACAAATTTCATTAATAGGACTATTAAATCTATATATTGTAAGAAGCACACATGGCCCATCTTTTGTTTAATCATATATATATATATATATATATATATATATAAAGGGAAGAGGTTATAGTAGTTCCAATGAGAGAAAAGTGTGTATATTAAAAAGAAGAGAGAAACCGCAAACGTTTTTGGTTGTAATGTGAATTTTTTTTTTAAATATATTTTGCTTTGTTTTCCATAATTTTGCTATACGAGTTTCCAGTTTCATGACCTTCATCAGGCAAAGAGTGGATATTTCCACATATTATTAAAAGTATTAATTTTTCTTGTGTTTTTCAATGTTAAATATTCTCAATATTAGGCATACTCTTATTTGTGTGTGTTAGTAACCCAAATGTCTTTCTTGAACTGGCAGTGAAAAAGTTCTGCATGAAGGGCAATAAAACAATTAAGACTGGTCTGAGAAAGGATGAGAAAGATATCTATATTCTTATGTTTTAATGACCACTTTGTGTTCTTAGATCTATTTAAGAATAACCAGTTCAAGGAAGACATTTGGGTCACTAACAAACACAAAAAAGAGAATATTTAACATTGAAAAACATAAGAAAATTTGGGTTTATGTAGATTGCGTGTATTGGTGTTATTGTGGAAGTGGTGGGGGAAACTTTGTCGTTTTGTCATTCATCGTACTAACGCAAACATCGATGTATGCAGACACATATACATACTTGGTCGTCCGTCGGGACTCATACATATATAAACGTATGTGGGCAGTTTCGGCTATGACACATGTATGTATACGGGTGGTGTTATATCTATACATACGCATTTGTATGTTGAAATGTTGAAATTTAAACATTGGAAGTGTGGCGGAAATGTCACATTAGTGTCTCGTGACTGTATACATGTCATATTATGTATATATATATATATTATTTTTTTTTGCTGAAAAATATTTCCTCGCATGTATGTATATACGTGTGGTGGGGTTTGTATAAAATTATGATAGGTAAAAATTATTATTATTTATATTTATTTTTAAATTTTTGAAAAAAATGGGGGTTTATTTGTTATATTTAAAGCTGGTTATTTGTTTGTTTTTGGTGACTGTGTATATGTAACAGGTAGAAATTTGTAATCCTTATTGTTTAATTTATATGGTGATGTTTAATATACTGGGTGAGAGGGTGGTTCAATTTAATAACGGGTCTATATGATATGATGTGATAGTAATGTTTCAAGGGATTGGAGACAATGATATTTAGCTAATAGTTATTGTAAATTGGAAGAAATTGCAAATTGGTAGAAATGATTAGTAACGGTGGTGGGAGAATGATAAAACCATGTCACCTCTTCTCCCAACAACTGTGCATTAATTCATAGGACTTGTATCAGTAAATCATTATTAACTCCAAAAATGATAACAATCTAAAAATAATTTCTGGTTTTAAATACCCTGTAAAAGGTTGGTAAGGCATAAAACAGAAATCAATCAACCTAGTTTTGATAACTATGTCCACACTGTTTATCTTTACATACACTCTGTCTCTGATGATGGCAACTTTTCTCTCATAAATTTAGTATACTTTAAAAAGTATGACATATATATATATATATATATATATATATTAAGACAAATTTCTAATGGGTAGAGATCAAGCAGGACTGCCAACAGTTTCATGCTCTTTCACGCAATCATCAGGCCTGAAACTGGTAGTCCTGGTCAGTGACTGCCCACTCTATATTTGACTAAGAATATTATATTAAAGCTTTGCTATTTATTATGGCATTGAGTACACTTTTTTCCTGTGTCCAATCTTAGACAGACTCTTTTGAGAGCTGATTATTCTTATTACTATATATATATATATATATATATATATATATATATATATATATCATTTTTCTTTCCTATTATTTTATATATATATATATATATATATATATATATATATATATATGCATGTTTCATTGAGCATTACACCTATCTGAACAGAGCTGTATTAGAACTCATTTAAACACACATACAAACCTACCAGACTCCATTCAAAACATACTAATAGAAAATACAAACATAATAACCTCATCCACATGTAAAAAAAAAAAAGATTAAAAATGATGGAAGCCTTAATAATAAAAAAAGCCAACTCTTAATATTAACTGCGAACAATGTGCTGTGTTCGGAAAATAAAACATGTCTATAACACACTAAAAGCATACACATAACACACACACTCAATTAAATGGAAAAAATAAAATCATCCTTGATCATGGCTAAAGTATAGCTGAAAGCAGTTAGAACTATAGAACATTTGGACAGTTTCTACGCACTCTGAGTCCAAAAAAGAAAGCTCTTGTGTGAACACAAGAAAAATTAAACAAAAAGCTTAACCGACCTTGTCTGTCGTTTTTAATGAAACATGCATAAATGAAGGATTGCTGCCTAAAATATATATATATATATATATATATATATATATATATATATATATATATATATATATATATATATACAATATATATATATATATATATATATAATATATATATATATATATATATATATATATATATATATATATATATATATATATATATATATATATATATATATATATATATATATATATATATATATATATATATATATATATATATATATATATATATATATATATATATATATATATATATATATATATATATATATATATATATATATATATATATATATATATATATATATATATATATATATATATATATATATATATATATATATATATATATATATATATATATATATATATATATATATATATATATATATATATAAATAAATATATGGATATAAATCCGACAGTATGAAAGAAAAATACAGAAAAACAAAAATCTGAATATGCATAATGTTAAAATAAAGTCGACGTCGGACATTTCGGTCTATTTAAGACCATCATCATGGACATTTTCATTTAAACATAATTAACATTATAACTTATAAAAATTTAACACAAAAAAAAAAAAAATTTGTGTTAAATTTTTATAAGTTATAATGTTAATTATGTTTAAATGAAAATGTCCATGATGATGGTCTTAAATAGAATCAAACGTCCGACGCCGATTTTATTTTAACATTATGCATATTCAGATTTTTGTTTTTTCTGTATTTTTCTTTCATATATATATATATATATATATATATATATATATAAACTGTTCTTTCCTATTATTTTAATATATATATTCTGATTTAGTTGTCCTCTACACAATAGTTCTTTTTTTTATTAATATTCTTATCATCATCTGTTAATTATTATCCTCATTATATTATTAATAACAAAACCCATGGAAATTCCACCATTATTACCAGTTTGAAGATAGCAAAATTCAATTATTCACTTTCTAGAAGAGGTGAAATGTTTTGTTTACAGTAAAAAATGAAAAAGAAATGTCAGAAATTTCAAACTCTGATGATAGTTTTAATTACTGAGTATCTTTATTAAATCTTTTTCAGTATCCACATCAGAAATCCCATAAAGTGAAAACCTTCTATGGCAATGGCCTTGGAAGAGATATTTGGCAAAAATTCAAAGAAAAGTACAACATTCCCAAAATAATTGAACTTTATGGTTCCACAGAAGGAAATTGTTTTTTGGTAAATTTGCAGGATAAGGTTGGTGCAATTGGCCGGCTGTCTCCATTAATGGTAAGCCTTGCAACATTTTAGAATAAACACGTATTTCAACATTATTTAACCTTTCATTTACTATGAACAGCTATGAACATATAAGCATCATTTTTATGTTACTTAAGGATGTGGGTTATTATGGCTCTCCACAACTTCCTAATCTTTTTAGATCTAAATAATGTTTGTCCCTTTACTATCCCTCCTTGTCCTTGTTTTGCCATCCATTTTCACAAGTTCATTAGGGAGCTTCATAACTGTTTCCCACTACCATTCTTGCCATCAAAATATCTTGTCAGTATCAAATTTTCTTTCATCATTATGTGTTCCAGAAATTTCCATGGTTTCTTTCTGAGTATACATGTTCCTTTTGTTTATGTTTTTCTTAGAACTTCCTCACTCACTGCTCACATGTTCAGACCATGTTATTTTCAGTATCCTTCTGTAGAAAGATATTTCTGTTAGCTCAAGTCTTCTCATCATTTGTGAGGAAATTCTCCATCATTAATTGTCATATAAGATGACTGATATTACGCAACAGTTTGGCACTCATTTGTTTGTTTCTAATGAAATTTTCCTGATTCTTAATATTTTGTTTAGCTTGTTTTATTACATTTCACTTTATTGTAATTGATAATCATGAAACCCATACCATCCTGGGTATGATGATAAACTACATCTGGCAGCAAGGCGATTGAAGGTTTTGAGGAGTGTGGAACCACCTCTTAACTGTTGTTGTTCCCAGATCCACTCAGACCTGGAGTGGTAGCACCTGTTAGGGTCCCAGCTATGGGCAAATAGTGAACCCCAAACAAAAATCAACAGTACATTTTTATAATAAAATTACCAACAATACATTTTATGATCTACAAACTATATATGTGAAAAATATACCTTTACTCTGAAAGTATAAAATAATGTACAAAATATCTGTAGATGAAGGCATAAAATTATGTACAAAATATCTGTAGAATTTGGCATTAAATAACCCATAGAGTTTGATATGCCGCTAAACAAAATCAACCAAACAAGTGACCAATGAGACCCATAACCCATTAAGGTCTCGAATCACTACATCATGTATTGCAGCCGCAATAGCAGGAATGTTTTCTGGGCAAGATTGCCTGACATTGTGTAACTCTCTTCAAGGCTGGTTTGAATTAAGAGTTTTAATTCTCCTAGACTAGTCGCCAACCAAGTCTATAGGACCTAATCTGTCCTGCTGGGCAGTGGGGAGAAAAAAATGGATTCATACCTTCCCAAGGCTATTAACACATAAGTGAATGTAATGAACTCATATGGAATTCAAACTCAGCTTCAATTCTCAATCCTGACTATTCTCCATTACTCCACTGTGCTTATTGTAATGCACTTTTTAACAAATCAAAGGTTTTATTGTAATGTTTTTTTCAAGCCAGTGGATCAATGCTATTTTCCCAAAAACATATGTTCACTTTATTCAATTCACATCTATTTTTAGACTTGACACTATTACACACAAATATGATGATGATGATGATGATGATGATGATGATCATCATCATCATCATCATCTTTGAAGATATTCAAAAAGTTGTCAAAGTACAAGGACCTTGAAATAGAAATCGCGAAAATGTGGCATATGGGAACATCAACAATCCCTGTTGTAGTTGGAGCCCTAGGACTGGTTGGAAAAGATTCCAGTAGACTAATTGAAGGGATTCCTGGAAGTCCATGCCTCAAGGAGATACAGAAAATTGTTCTGACAAGTACAGCCCCACACCTTACGAAGGGCTTTATCTATGTAATTTTTTTTTTTTTGTCAGTGGAAAGTGTCATGACGCCATTTCTAACCTTAGGTCCCTGGGCGGGACCTGGAAAGAAATGTGTAAACACCAGAAATCAAAGAAAATAAAAATAATAATAATAATAATAATACCAGGTCATAAGATCACCATGCAGATGAGCATCTGGACAGTTCCCTCCACATATCTGTGGTTAAAGCCAGAGAGATATTCATTTCTACATAGTTTGTCTTGGACAATTAGACCTGGCAGATCCCATCCCCTCAAGGTCAGACTACAACCGATGTCCTCCAATTTGAAGATGCACCTTGGTCACAGACATATGACCATTGCTTCCATTTTCCTCCACCCTGGCTGTTGACATCAGTCTAGGAATCCCTCTGCCTAGCCATGCCTTGTCAACACTGCACTATCTGCATACAAAACTATCGAATGTGGTAAATGGCTGTTGACTGTTGACCCTCACAAGAAGGTTTATCCACTTTTTGTCAGCTCTTGTTTTTAATCTTCCTCAATGTCTAGCCTCCTTCCTCAAAAGGAAAGCCTGTTGGAGGAATCAGTTTAATCACTGATGACCCAAACATGTGCCAAGTAGTACTGGCTTCCATGTTACCAATAGCACCTGACATAACACACTTAGTACACAAGAATATAATAAAAGCATAACTTTCATATGCAATAGGAAACAAAATGAATGTCTTATTTTATTACAGTTGTTTCACACCAATCTAGCAATATCTCTGATGTATAACTGTATATATAAATAGATTGTCTGTGAATATATTACATAAAATTGTTTCATGAAAACAACAACTGTTTATATCTGTAAGTTTTTTTTTGTTTTTGACACTACTTATCATTTTAACAGTTTGTCTCTTCTCTCTTGGTTAACTCAGCTGTTCTTGTTTCATTGAGATGACTTCATTTTTATATTCAGTTTTAAAAGTTATGACAAATAACAGTGTTTTGTTATTCATTTTCATTTCATAAAGAATATTTTGAAAGTCTAATAAATCTAAAATTTAATTTTAAAAAATTATTTTTTAGTGTTGTTCATAAAAATAATATAAGTTAATTTCTTTTGTTCAATAATTTATCTTTAATGAGTTTATTTACAGAAAAAAAGCATTGCATCCTTAAAATTGAATGAAATATTTCCATGCATTATAGAATGGAAAAAATTGAATTTTCTGTGCCCTGTTGAATATTTGAAATTGATTCTTTTTTTCAAATGCTTAACTTAGAATGTTTGCTTGGAACTGACATATTTCTTTTAAATATTTTAGTTTTTTTAATTTTTTTATGAGTTACAAAATGCAAGGGAATTAAAAAGTTTTGAACTAAAAAGCAATTCAAATATTCAATTTGAAGATTTTGTTTTTTTGCCTAAAAATAAATTAGAAACAATCCAAACTTGAGAAAAAGTTTTAGACAAACTCTTGAATCTCGTTTTCTTTAGAGAAAATTTTCCCCATCAAAATGTTTTTCAGTGATCAAATGGTAATAATCATTTGCTACAAGGTAAGGTGAATATGGTGGGTAAGGTAGAACAGATTAACAGATTTAAAAAATCTTGTGTGATTTTTGCAGTCAGTTATTCTTGTGTTATGAAAGAGAATCACATTTTCCCTTTAAATCACTGTGTATGCTGCCACTGTTATACTAGAACTAAGGTATGTTAGTGTACCCCAAATTTAATTTTAACTGCCACATATGTTTAATAGTTAGGATGATACATTTGTCATTATAATTGGTTTTCAAAAACAAAAATTATGACACAATAGTTTAGGAATGTGGCTTGTTGCATAATCCAATCTCAAAATTTTGTTCTATGAATTGGTCATTCTAAAAATGTCTCACATTTGAAATATTTTTTCTTGCATGCTTTAAGTATTTTTTCTTTTTTCTACATTTCATTCTTAATATTTAATAAGCTATGATGTTGTAGTTTGCATAATTTTAGTGATGGTTCCTGAAAAGGACTGGTCATAAGTTTTCAGAGAAAGGTATCATTTATTTGGCTTATTTCTGTTTTTGAGGGGTCAATTAATATGAATTTGGCTGATTGAAATTTACTGCCTTTTTTGTGTTTGTTAGACAGACTTAGAGATTTTTTTCAGTTGTTTTCATCTCTGTTGCAAATATCATAAACTTTCTTCATGCATTTTCCCTTTTTTAAAAAATTCAACATGTTATTTCACTCATTTTCTCTGTCTCTTACAGATTTCATCATTTCTTTTAGCTCTTCAACTTTAATCAGATCCTATTGCATAATCCCTTTTGATCAGAATTATTATTATATTTTTAAATCCTCAACTTTTCTACAGAATATGTTCAGGCCAAATAAAATGTACTTGGTGAAATATGACCTTGATACTGTGCAACCCTTACGTGATAAAAATGGCCGATGCATTCAAGTTGACAAAGGTGAGTTTTGTATTATTAAAAAAAATGAGAAATTTTCCTTATCATGAACATATCTATTGGAATAAGCAAAGTGAATATACATATGCAAAGTGAAAGTGTTTTGTATGCTAATGTAGATGAAGATGTTATAGACTTGAATTTTTTGTACCTAGCCTAAGTCGTTAATACTGTTATAGTAAATGATACAGTTCAAACTATAGACAACCAGTATTTTTACTTCGTCTAACTCCATAATAATGTTATATTAAATGATGTTCAGGCCTTATATAAAGTAGTGATCTAGTAGGTGAGTTTTCATGTATCCTATTATGTCCTGATTGGAAGGTTTTGAGGAGCATGGAAGCACCTTTTAATTGCAGCTGTACACAGGTTCTCCCACACCTGGAGTGGTAGCACCTGTTAGGGTCCCAGATAGGGGTAAATAGTTACCCTCAAAATGTGGTCAAAATACTATGAAAGTGTAGAAATACATTTTTTCATATTTCATATTTTCATAGTAAAAAATTACTATCAATAAATTTTTGTAAAAGAAAAATTTCCAGCAATACATTTTAGAAAAAAAAAATTACCAGTAATACAATTTTGTAAAAGAAACTACTAATGCTCCCCACCAAAAAATAAATTTCAGCATTACATAATAAGTTGCCTTTAAACAAAGAAAACAAAACATGTATCCTATCAAGAGTCTCTGTTCATTTTTCTATGTGTTCCTTCAGGACATAGGCAATCATGGATCTCCACAACTCCCTATCCCCTGTGTGACTCTTAGCAATTTGAACCCCCCCCCCCCATTCTGCCATCCATTCATGCAATCTTATCAAGTAAGAGGCTTACTACCTTCCTCTATCTCTCTTGCCCTCAATATGCCCTGTGAGGATTAAGTTTTCCAAGCCCTCCTTCCTTATTATGTGTCCAAGAAATTTTTTGTTTCTATCTTATTTAAGACTTCCTCGTTGCTTATTCACTCCATCCATGGAATACTCAGTATTCTTCTGTAGAAGCACATTTCTGTTGCCTCCAGTTTTCTCCTCATCCATGGGGAGATTGTTCAGCATTCACTGCCATAATGTATATTTATGATTCATGTGATACCGTATGGCATATTTAGGGAACTAAGATAGGGAAATAGGTAGAGTGTCTCATAAAAAAGGAAATGTGTATAATGACTGCAACATGAAGCAAATGGATTTTTGAAGTCTCCTGTAAATGTTCTTAACAATTAAAATATAAAAATATTTCATCCCTTCCTGTAATTTCTCATATAAATGAATAAATGTTCCAGTTTAAACAGAAAAATCTGAGTCTCTGTAGGTTTTATGTGTATATGCTATACATTAAATGAAGCTTTGCATTTCACTAATCTGATAATTTGCTTTCTTCACAAATATCTTAATACTGATTAAACATTTTCTAAAAATCACAGGTGTTGGGACAATATACCTGTATGAAATTAATGTCTTGGTGAAGTTTTGAACCTGTTTCCTGTTTTTGTGTTGATCCTAATATGAGACAGACTCATATTTGTTTACATTAGATATATTTGCTGGTGGTCATATTATAAGAATAATTTTCAGAAAAGTCTTTTTATCAAAAAGCCAGTCAAGTACCTAAGGACTGTGTGGTTGTGAAATTAATGATTGAATCATATGAGGGCCTCATAGCTGACAAGCCATCAAATTGGGTTCTCATATAAAAAAAAATGTGAGCCAATTAAAGTGGCAGTTTGCAAACATTTGTGAGAAAGAAGTGACAAATGGGGAGACAGTCCTGGATCAGTTGCCAGAGAAGAGACTGATGAAGAGACAGTCTCAACTTGGTTGCCAGGGGAGAGATAGATAGGGAGACTGATCTGACTCAGTTGCCAGTAGAGAGACAGAGAATAGGCAAGTAAACCTGTGCAAATATAAGATGCATGAATGGATAGACATGAACAGATCTTTGAAGTAAGCAAAAGTTTCCCTCACATAAAAGCAAAATAACCAACACAAAGAATTGTTGTTCTATCATCATCATCATCATCATCATCATCATAGTTATAAACAAACAATTCATGATTCAGCCTTCTGCATACTGTTGTCAATCATTAGAATTGTAGAAAGACAAGTCTAGTTTGAATCCCCTATGTACTCAACAACTAGAATAAACTGCCTCTTATTAAAAGTATTCTGTTCATTTTCATTATTCCAAAATTCCAATCAATCTCTCAAATTTAGTTTTGCATGATACATACAGCTGCTTGCAAAAATTATGGAATTAACCAACTTAGGGATGTTCACTTATATAGTATCAGTTTATTTACTACTAAGTCACAAAACATTTTTATTCAATAGCTGAACATTATGGTGTTATGGTCTAAAAAAATAATGATATTTCATCATTCTAAAAATAACCTTGCCATCAGTGATGATAAAAAAAAAGGATATTTTATCATCTTAACTCTCATCATAAAACTACCCTTCCACCACAAAAGGAACAGTAGAGTAGACTAGGATACCTGTAGCAGTAGTCAGTGATGAGTAGACAAGTAGCAGTACAGAAACACATGTATATCCATCACGCCATGAAGACCAAAAACGGATGATTTCAAATGCCATCCTCACAAACGAAATTCTCGGAGCCAAACAAAGTAAGCACTAACTTTTAAACAAAAGAGACACTGAGATCATTTTCACACATCATATCAATATTCTGTAATTCACATCACAAAAAGAAAATACAAATTCTTATTTATGTCAACACATGTCAGATGTTTTTATTATTGTTATTGTTGCACATTTTATGCATTTTAATTTGTGATTAATACCAAACCTGTTACAATGGCTTCATAAAATATACATTTAATAAACTAAAATGAATTATTTAAATAAATAATGGTATAATTTTTTTTCAAGCAATGTAGAGGGAAATACAACAGAATAACTCAATGTTGAGGAAAAAATTACCAAATGATGTTTTAATTTGCTTTCCTGAAACAACAACAAGAGAAGTCTAGATATGCAAATTAATCTACAGTTAAAAGAGTTTTCTTGCAAACCTCAACAAGTAGGTGATTATATCTCTAACAAAAGAAATGTCAATTAAAACAATGGAAATGATCATTAAACTCATTCAAGTTGGCAATCCACAGTGGAGTATGACAAAAAACATTGGCTGTGCCAAATCAGCTGTCTAAAATTTGGTACAAATATAAAAGAAACGGGGTCATTAAAAAAAAACAAATATATTGGTAGACCATAAAAGACATCAGATCATCAAGATAGAAAATTCAAAGCAATATGATTTGAAAATGTCCAATAAAACAAATGGAAAACAAATAGGTCAACAACAAAACTTTTAGAAATCAGTTTAGTGAAATGGGATTTGCATCCAGAAAAACCAAACCAAAACCAGCACTAACATATAAACAGAAGAAAATGAGGTTAAAGTTAACAAGAAACAAACATGGTAAGTGGATGATTAGATGAAAGTGATATCAAGTGATGAATTAAGAATCAGCATGCTGAAACTTTTGAATCCATTTCAATGAAACATGTAAATGAGACTGCTTGAAGAAAAGAATTAAAACAACAAGGAAGATTTAATTAATCTTTTATTGAGTTTTTCCAGCATTCTAACATTTTTCTGTTTTTAAGAGGTTAAAAAATATAAAAATTGTGCATAGTTATTATTCTGAGTGCTTTCATCTAGTTCTATAATCATTATCAAGGATGTTATTTTGGTATGTTAAATTTCATTTGTTATCTTCTACATAAGTAGTTTAGCTGTGCGGAGTTCTTGTGGAGGAGTGTATGCCTTTTTCAGTGGTCCCATGTTATGCGTGACTGATTGACCTGGGCATCACTTCTATTTTTAGAAAACCTTTAACACACCATCTCCACTGAATAGTGAAAGATTAATAGTAGTGGAACAGCATTTAATAAGTAATGCTTCTCTAATGTCTACAACTATGTGATTTGAAAAAAATTGTTGTGTTATTGACTAGAATTTTCCTTAAAGGTTCTTGTAGATTATGGGTTAAATGTTTATTAATTGCACTCTGCTTTGAGAGGTGACATGTAAGGCATCTACTTAAGGAAGTAGTAGTGTGCCTGATATAGGTAATTGGCTTTTAACAACTAACACAGTCTTGTACTGGGCATTGAAATTGGTACACTAAATTGGTCATTGCTAGTTTAGATTTAGTGGGGTTATTTCAGCTAGTGACGACGAGATTTGCGGTTTTCGATTTTCTGTTTTATATTATAAACTTTTTATGTTTTTCAGGGGTTACAGCAGAAATATGGGTGTTTAATAATTTTCCTTATAGCAAATTCGTCCTGCTTATAGCTATTGTGCATCTGGTTGCAGTAAAATATATTGATGTTTTGTGGTATTGTATTTTTATTACTGGTGTCATATATTTTTTGTAAGAATAATTTTATTTGTTATCAGTGATGTAGTTGGGAAGATTATTGTTGACAAGTGTTTGTTTTATATGTTTCAGTTCACTTAGAAATATTTTTTGGAAAAAAGAATTTTGTTAAGCTCTGTTTAAGAAGATTGTTATCACTTTTATTTTATATCTTTCTGGGCATTGGCTATAATAGTTTAGAAGACAAGAGTTCATACTGGTGGTTTTTAACTCTAGCTTAACATTGAGGAATGGGATCTTATTATGTACCATTGGTTCATATGTTTATTCTAGTGTTGAGTTTTTTCAAAAGTTGATTTTAAGTTAACAATTTTATGTTTATTTTTTATCAAAACAAAAATGTCATGAATATATTTTGTGTAGATTTCCGGTTTATTGGTTGTTTCAGATACTTTGTTTTCAATATAGGATATCTAAAAGTTACCGAAAATAGGACCTAAAAGTTTTCCAGATTTTTGGATGAGATATTTTTGGGTGTTTGTAGAAACATTCACTAATTATGTTGGCTTTCGATGTCCAGGGAGACCTTAGTATTTCCTATGCGATTTGCTGCTTTCAAGATTTAGAGGGAAGTCGTTAGTTGATGCTCTGCTGTAATTGTTGGCTGTGTATGGAGAAATTATGTGGTTGAGGGTTTTTGATAGTTGGTATATGGGTGTAGGTATTTAGGATATGATATGTTGGAGAGGAAAACCTGATTTATGGATTTTTAGATTACCATACGTATATCCCCGTTGGTAATCATCAACTATTTTCTTGATTTTTAAGTTATCAGCATCTGTGTTGTTTGCTGGGATTAGTTTATTTACATGCTTTTTTAGTGTTTCTGTGGGTTTTTTTCTTAATCTGGTGAATTTTGTTGTCTTATCTTGAATGGATTGTAACTTCTGGTTATAGTTCTGTCAGTTGAAAAAAAAATAAGAAAACAGCAAGATACGGAAACAAACAAGTATTATTTATTATGTGATTGTTATATGCTGTTGGAGAAATGAGAGACAATAATACTGAGTAAAATTGTGAGTTTGGACTCAGAATGATAAGATAAAAAATAAGCAACAGTCTTTCTTTTATGTTTTTTTTTATCAATGTGTGTAATGAGTATCCAGATAATTTAGTTAAAAAATGCAAAAAGTGTCTGGGTTTTTCTTACCGCAAATTTTTGTTGAGTGCTAAATGATAAATGTTATTATTATGGTCTGAAAAAGAAAAAGGAGATGAAATTTTTGTTGATGCACATGTTCATGATTTGTCTGTGGGAACTGCTTGTTCGATAGTGAGAATGTCACCTGTTTGTGTGTGTAGAGGAGAAAAAAAGGGGACAATTCTCATTGGTTTAGAATGAGTAATTTAATGGTAATTATAATTTTTATGATTATTTTTGACACTTTAATTAATTTTTATTTATTTACTTTTCTATAGACATGATCAATCACACTTTAATTTGATATTTAAAAAACTTATAAGTCATTTTATTTTCTTTGTTTTCAACTGCAGGTGAAGTCGGCCTCTTGATAGGCAAGTATATCCCCGAATTTGATTTGCAGATGTATAAAAGCAAAAAGGATCTGGACAGCCCTAAAATAATCCGAAATGCCTTTGTGGAAGGAGACAAGTATTTCAACACCGGGGATTTAATCTATACAGATGATGACTATTTTGCTTACTTCAGTGATCGAATTGGTGATACATTTCGGTTAGTCACAATTTTTTTCATTCAAAAATTTTAATATATCAGTCATCATATTGGATGAGAGAACCATTAGGAATAGAATGGTCAAAAAGGCTTTGACTGTACATCCTAAGTTCCTTATTGTTACTAGTATTTAAATTTGATAGGAAGTGTAAATTATCAGTTGGTGAAAAAATATATATAAGTAAAAAAAAAATAGATCATGTAGTAAGGTGAGGCTTTAGTGATGCACTCTGGTTTTATTGCAAGTTTCATGTTTTACATATATTACTCAGTCTACTAGTAACCTCTGATCTCATTGTGAAGATAGCATGTGCTCATCTTGATCACTTTTTGTGTATTATCCAAAAACATGCAAAATAAAACTATAAATTTGAACAGCCGTGCAATGCAGCACCAGTCGATCAAGAAAATCATTTTATGTAGCATATGTGAATTCAAATTTTACTGTCAAAAGTTTCTGTCATTATTGACACCCAATGGCAAGTACCTATATTTTCTAAATTTTTCCCATTTGATGCTCAGCCTCATAGATGGGAGAAAACAGAAGGTGGGTAGGTATATATATAAAATTGGAACTTCATAAAATAAAAAGAAAAAAGATTTATACACACACACACACGCGCATATATATTCTTTAAAAATTAGGAAATCAGTTGAATCCCCTACCTTGGTTTCAACCTTATGGTATCCTCAGTTGATTTTTATCAATTGTCCTTCCAATGCTTAATTTAAAAAAAAAATAATGAATGTTATAATATTTAAAAAAAATAAATAAACAAACGTTTGATGTTGGGTGTGATAGAAAGGGAGATGGGGAATGTGAAGAAAGGAGAAGAAAAGAAAAGCAAGGGTATTATAAATGTATTGGTGGGTGGGGGTGGGGTAATTGAAATGTACATACTTCTTTTATTTTTTTATCCAGCCTCATATGAGCTTAAGAGGAAATTTTTAGTATGTATGCAAGGGCTCATGACTTCAGATTTCTGGTTCAAAAGGTTCTTTGATCCGGAAATGTCATTATAGCTAATTTTTTCCTGTTGACAGAGGTTGCAAATATTATTGTAGTTGTTATAAGGCTTTGCCTATTTTTAAATTTTCCAGCTTACAATCGGATCCCTGCTGTTTTTTCCTTTTAAATTCCACACATGGTTATCTAGTTTGGTAGAGCTCCTAAGACTTACTAGCTTGAATGACAACCTATGATCGTATTGTTTAAAAGTACCTTCAGTACATCCTATCTGCATTTTATTTTGACCATTAATATCTGTTACTTCTGCTTTATAGATTATTGCTTTGGTTTAACAAACTCCATCTAATGGACATCTATTTTTATTTCTGCACTTGCATAAATTACTAGTGTTAACTATATTTTGCTGTGCGTTAGTTTTGAAATTTCCAGCTTTTTGTCTCTTTATTATTGTTTCTAAATTACTAGTTCAGTTGCAGCTTAATTTAACTGTGTTTTTATTGAATATCTTAAGTAATTCTGAATTTTTGGAGAAATGTTTAGTAAGCAACTTGAAAAATAATTTCCCTATTTTACATTTTACCTTTACGTCTAAGTTAAAAGAGGGTGGGGGTTAAACCAAATGATATTTTTTTTCTTTTCCTCAAAATTGTTCTTCATATGTTGTTTAATTTGAGGTTTAAATTCTATACCTTTTCAACTTCATAATGATAATAATCAACTTCAAAATGGACTTATTTTCAAGTAAAAAATTAATCATCTCCAAAATGGATCAATCAACTTCAAATTGGATCAATCAACTTCAAAATGGAACAATCAACTTCAAAATGGATCAATCAACTTCAAATTGAGAAAATGTCAAAAACCTAAAAACAATCAACTTCAAAATAAGAATAAACAACTTCAAATTGGAATAAACAACTTCAAATTGAGATATTTTTTTTTGGTAAATTGAAAATTATTTTTTCAATTAATTTACCCCATGAGTAAGGAAATTGACTGTTCTTCTTCATTATATAGATGAAGAAAAAACCAAAATACAAACAACTTAGAGACCAAGAAAGCATTGGGTGAGCCTACAGTAAAAGTAGGAGGAGAAAGTCCCGTATGGGCAAAAATGATGATTGATGATGATGCTGGAGAAACCTCTACAAAAGAAGCTGGAGAAGAATTAGCAACAGCTCCAAAGAGGACTTACCTCAAGAAAACTGTGGCTGGCGAAAAAAAGGCCCAGATTTTCGCTACACATGCCGTAGCAGGAAATTGGAAAGACCTGGCAAGAACAATTGGTGTGCCTCTGCCAACAGTGTACCATTGTTTAGACCAGGTTGCTGATAAGAGTGGCTCTAGGGGAGGAGCAAGAAAATATAAAATTACGCAAGAGCATAAGAATTTTATGGCCGAATTAATTGAAAACTCTCCTAGAGTCACTTTTCAAGACATTGTAAATAAGTTGGTCGAAAAGTATGAGGTTCGTGTGATGAAAGAATGCATAAGAAAGCACTTGGACTCCATGGCCTTTACTTTAAAAGCGGTTCATTATGAACCAGAAGCTGCCAATAATAATGTCAATGAGGCGAAACGTAAGGATTATGCAGTAGCTTTATTAGAATTTCAGTTGCAAAGTGTGCCAATTCTTTATATGGATGAAACCAATTTTAATCTCCATATTTCAAGAAGAGAAGGTTGCTCTAAAAAAGGCACAAGGTGCACTACAGTCATGGCCAGATCCAGGGGAAATAACATCCATGTTATTGGATGTATTAGTAATAATGGATTAATTCATTATAAAATTAAAAGAGGTTCTTTCAAAAAAGAGGATGCAAAAGAATGGACCAGGGAGTGCCTTAGAAAGGCAAATGAAATTTATGAAAGGGGAGTTGTCTTAGTTATTGATAACGCTGCTTGCCATACTTCCATTGAAGAAGTTGTGGAGGAGGATGAATTTAGGCAACACCAAATTTTCAGACTTGCCCCCTATAGTCCGATGTTAAATCCCATTGAAAAGGTTTGGTCAGTCATTAAAGCTGATGTAAAAAAAAGTATGGCAGACTCAATTGTTGGGATTTTAAGAGGTGATGGCCAGGGATCTTTAACTACTAAAGAATTCCGCCTCAGCAAGTTAGAAGCGATGATCTCCAAGGCAATTAATAATATTTCCCCTGAGACTTGCACTAACTTCGTATCTGGAATACAGAGATTACTTCCCTCTGTAATTAACTTAGATGATGTAATCTTTTAAATAAATTTCTTAGGAACATTTATATTTTTTTATATCCTTTTAAGTAAAAATAAAAGAATAAATATTAAATTTATTAGTATTATATTAATTCTCAATTTGAAGTTGATTGATCCATTTTGAAGTTGATTATTTTTTTTACCTGAAAATAAGTCCATTTTGAAGTTGATTATTATCCTTTTGAAGTTGAAAAGGTAGAGTTTGGTTTTGTGACCCTCTACCTTTAAGTTTTTATATTGTATATCCTCAAAAATTATTTTACTAGAAGAATTTCTGGATAACCTAAACTCTATTCTTTTAGGGATGTGCAGGGTGGATTGATCTAATATTCATGCATTTTAATTTTGCATTGGGTTTCATGTATGGGGAGACACTACCAGCTTGAAGATTTAATTCTACATCCAGATAGTTAATAACTTTTTTATTCATTTCAACTTCTATTTCAAAGCCAAGGCTTACAAAGAGTTTGAAAAGTGCTTTTCTTATAGTGTCATTTGTTCTTCTGCTTTTTGGCACTATCATCAGACCATCATCTTGAAAAAAGGCCTTGGTTGTTTATATGAACAATTTTGTTAATTTCATATAAGATATGCAGGCCTTCAAAACCTCAATGCCATCAAATGAACCTTGTGGTACATCAAAGCCATGTTTTTTTTATTTCTTAACACAGGTTACATCATTTCACACATGTATTGAGCACTTTTTAATACTACTGTTTCAACTCTGATATATAATATATAAGTATATGAAAAAAGACAAAAGGAAAACTTATCTTAATCGAGATGTTTGTCCTCTGAAAGACATTATGATGGCAAAATGTGAGGATTTTATCTTGTTACTAGTATTTATATACAAGAGCAAAAATGTTATTGGCTTTTCAAAATCTATGGGGTGTATGAGTGCTTATGATATGTTATCAGGTCAAGCAAGTTTATGGAGGACATAAGGTGATAAAATTCAATGTCTAATAAAAAACAATAAAAACACATCAATTACTCACCTTCATTTATTAGACATTGAATAGTATCACTGCATATCCCCCATAAACTTGCCTGACTTTTCCATTAACCGGATGAGTAGAAACATTCAAAAGTACTCAGGGGAAAAGATAATATAAGATAATAGTTGACAAAACTTTTCAAATATTTACTTATAACACTGTTGTGGCTTTGTTAGAGCCAGAAATAAATACACAAGAGAGGAATTGAGTTAAATATATTAAGAGAAATAGTAACATAAACATATACAAACGAGCATGTTACAGCAAGAATGGTCGGTCCGACTATCAAAGCTGACTGCTGGAAACTTCCCTGTCCAAAAGCTTCTATTTATAGCTGGGAGAGTTCATGTGTGTGGGGGTGAATTACCATAACAAACACAAAAACAACATATTCTAAAATTTGAAAGATTTTATAAAAATTAATAGCCAGAACATATCATATTATTTAACTATATATATATATATATATATATATATATATATATATATATATATATATATAGTTGTGAATACACACACACACATACACATATATATACAGATATACACATACATATATATATATATATACACACACACATATATATATACATAATAACTGTTTTATTATTAATGCATATATATACATACACACACCAATATATATACACATATATATATACATATATATACACACACATATATATAGACACTCATATATATACATATCTATATATACACACATATATATATATACACACACCCATACATATATACATACACACACACACATATATATATATATATATTGTGTGTTCTGTAGGCATATGCAAGGACCACTAATATGTACACGGTGTTGCAGCAAAATCCGACACTTGACAAAAAGAAAACAAAATTGGCAATAAAAACAAAAGTTGTATATGCACACACCCGACAGTTTATTTAGCAATAGAGTTACATACTACATTATTTTTCAATGTAACTGCCGATGGCAGCGATGACCATCTCAAAGCAGGCTCGAAATGAGTCACACACTTTGGCGACCATATCCTTGTCCGTAGCAGTGAATGCATCCACAATGGTAGCCTTCAGGGAGTCAACCATGTTGTGGGTGTGCTTGTTGATCTTGGCCTTGATCACGCCACAGAAGAAATAGTCAAGGGGTTTGCAGTCGGGTGAGGAGGGCAGCCACAAGTCCAGCGACCAGTGGTAAGGAACATTGTTGAGCAGCCATGCCTTGGTCGTCTTGGCCTTGTGTGCAAGTGCGGAGTCCTGCTGAAAGACTTAAGGGCATCTGGCAGCAATCTCATCCATCCAGGGCTTCAACACGCTCCTTAGCACCTCATGGTAGATCTCAGCGGTGTCTCTCAGGCTCTTTTGAAAGAAGAATGGAGGTATGATGTCCTCCTCACTGGAGATGACGCCAAGGACCATGATGGAGGAGGGAAACTTTGTATGCTTCACGATAGGAACCTCCTCGATGTCTTTGCAGATCCAATTGTCATTCTACCTGTTGCTCGTCTGGTCCTGGATGAAATTCTTTTCATCAGAGAAGAACCTCAGCATCCTGGTGGATCTGTGCTTGAGCTCATTCAGCAAAGCCACCCCCTTGACCTTCCTCAACTCCTTGGAGGCATTCGTGATGAGCATGCGGTGAGAATTGCAGTAGGAGGAGTAACCAATGTCCTTCTTGATCGTTCAGCAGATCGTCGACTTGTGACAGCCCATGTCAGCAGCGATCTTGTCGTAGCTCTGGCTTCCATCATTGTCAACTGTCTCCTTGACAGTGGCGATGAACTTCTTGATCTTAATGGCCAAAGAACGAACATTGTTGGCCTTTCATTTGGCAGTAAACTCATCCTTCTTCTCACATGCCTTCCACTTCCTCCAAATGTCATGGCCTATGGTCCTCTTGAACCCAAACCAGGCCATCACTTCCACAGGCTTCTTCCCAACATAAAAACAAGCTACTACCACTGCTCTGTGCTCATATTCCATCCTGGAAAAGGGTAGAGAGAAAAACATTAGTTGTCAAACCGTCAGGTATCTGCATATACAACTTTTGTTTTTATTGCCCATTTCATTTTCTTTTTGTCAAGTGTCAGATTTTGCTGCAACACCCTGTATATATATATATAAGTTATTCAAGGTATCTTATGATATAATATATATTATGTATATATATATATATATATATATATAAGGTATTCAAGGTATCTTCTCCACACACAAACTCAAGCATCTGCTCAAAAGAACTGGTAATATGATTTGTAACATCAATCTTTTATGGTCCAATGGCAACATTTCCTGGCCCAGGTAAGATACAGTAACCAATGTCATGGCATCAATGATGACATTCCTGTTGATTGGCAATTGCAAAACCTCATTGTCACCAAAATGTTTGTCAAATTAAAATCTTCATGCCTATTATAAATTCAAAGATATACAAATAACTATTGATTAATGTTCTTTGATTTATTGTTTTATCTGTTTAAATTATGGATTAAATCTAGAATCACAATTTTAAGTGATATAACTTTTAATGCATATGGATGGCATGTGTCAAAAACTTTTACTTGAGACCATAATTGGTTTGTATAAAAATAAAACCATGTTAACCATATAATAAAAAACTTTCTATTTTTAACAATTTTTTTATGACAAAAACCCATCCTTTTTAAAATTAAAATTAAAAATTTTACTTCTCAAAGCACAAGATAAAGTAAAGCTGTAGATTTTAACCACACTTCATTTTTATCACTTTGTTTTCATTTTGAGCTAACATGCAGAAATTTATATAAAAAATATATTTTGTTTTCAGTTGGAAAGGAGAAAATGTTTCGACTCTTGAAGTGGCCAATGTTCTACGTGAACTTGACTTTATCAGTGATGCCAATGTTTATGGGGTCAAAATTGGAAGTAAGTCTTCTAACTTTTGCTTACAAAATGAGATCAATAAAATGAAATAAAAACGGTTGTTTATATTTATAAAGACAGTTTTAATGTTTCCCTTCTAAATTGTTTTATGTCCCTTTTCTATTTTTGTGTATTTGTTCAATTCATTTTCTACCCATATGAATGCAATTTGTTTCCAGTAAATGTTCTAGATTATTCTAATATTTTTACCAATTAATCAAGTTTTTCTAGCAGTTCAAATAGATCTTTATGCTGTACTTTATCAAGTGTTTTTGCATAGTCAATGAGACATGGGTATACGTCTTTCCCATTTGTATTGTTCATTCTGATAGTATTCTCACCATAAAGATTGCATTTCTTGTTCCAGTCTTCAACAAAGCTACATTGTTCTTTTGCCCTATATCTGATCTATTTCTTCTATGTACTATCTTCATAAGAATCCAGATGATAAACTTAGCTATATGTTTTATTAAGCTTATTGTCCAATTGAGTTTGCATTCTTTTGCACTTGACTTCATAAACTAGTATTCTCACAACTGTAGCAGAATAAAATCTGCAATAATTATAGGATTTTATTTATGAAGACTAACAATCTGCATAGAAGACACCTTTAAAAAATCTCTAATATCCTTACTATTTCAACCACAATGCTAAAAGCAATACATGCAAAATATACACCTACAAAAAGATAATAACATTAATAACAACAATAAAAACAATAAACTAGATAAAAACTATGGGTTAATTAGTAAGACTTGTTATCACTAAAACCATTATTATCTCAAAAACAAAATAAAATGCATACAAAATATTTAGATTTCAGCATTAAGTAATCCATAGAGGTTGATATGCCACTAAACAATCAATCTTAACATCTACTCTTCAAAACAATTTATCCACTCTTAACAATATCAAAATAATTACAACCACATCCAAAATTATTATGGATGTGATCAGAACCAAAAATACACATAACAAAAATAATTCTGAAACAGGTAGATATAAAATAAACTGTTGCAATTGTACCTTAAAAATATATATTGGGGAAACTTGTAGAATTTTAAAAAGACATTTATGAACACAAAAAGGATCCCATGTACAACAAATTATCAAATGCATTGAAAACAGAAATAAGTTCAACTACAAATTCAATCTAAAGAATGCAACACTTATTAAAAGAGAAAATAAGTTAGATGGAAAGGTTTTGAGAATACAATTATCAATTCTTCCCAAAAGTTATGCGCAGGATTTTTTCAAATTTCTTGTTTCTTAAAAGAAATACTCTCTTCCTAAGTCAACATACATGACCATAAAATATTTTGGAAATGAAAAACAAGCAATTAACCTTCTATTATTTAAAATAAATACATAATTAAATAAATAATTTATTAAATTAAAATAAAATAATAAATAATAATTACATTATAAAAAAATAAATAAAAAAATATTAACAAATAAGAAAATAAAATTCAACAATATTAACATTTGCTCACTTTTATTTAGTAGGCTTTAAATTATATCATTTTTTGTCCTCCATAGTTTTCATTTACTTATACACTTAACTTTAAGAATATTTTAGAGCATTCTTAAATTTAAAAATGTTGAAAATTGAATAATATTTTACTTTTGTTTATAAATACATATTGAAAAATAAGAGCCTTACATTTACCTCAGGGGATGAAATACGTTAGTAAAGAAAAGTTTTCCTTTTTTTCTTTATTCATACCCATAAATTGTTACATGGAATTATTGATGTATGTGTAGGAGGGTACTAATACACACACACACACACACACACACACACAACATATGTATTTACACACACATATATTGTTATATACATAATTTATTTTCACATTTTTATTTATTTTAATTTTATGTTCCTTTCTTAAAATATGTTTTCATTTTTGTCCTAATTTTGCAGATTTCTCTGGTCGAGCTGGAATGGCATCCTTGCTTCTTTCCAATGGCAACCACCTGACTGAGGAGCAGTTGGCAAAAATATATGTTCAATGCAAAGAGAACCTACCCTCTTATGCTGTCCCACTTTTTCTACGCATTCAGACAATTATGGACCTCACAGGAACATTTAAGCTTAAAAAAATCTCTCTCCAGAATGAAGGGTTCAATCCTAAAATCATCCATGATCCACTTTTTTATATTGACCACAGCTCAGAATGTTATACACCCTTAACAGAAAATATCTATTTGAAAATACTAATTGGACATAGTAGATTGTAATGTACAACTCCAGTTTAAAAAGAAATATATCTGAAGCAAATATTTTATAGGTTTTACCAGGCAATGTGATTTTGGGGAACTGAATTCATTAAGTTTCTTGACTTTGTCTTAATAAATAATTTTTGTTACTTGATACTTTACTAGTTTGAAATATTTTTTCTGATATGTTTTCTGTTTTTTAGTTCACACACTGAGTTTCATAAGCATATTACCTTTTGGTAGAGAGATGAAGTATCATGTAATCAAAAAACCTTTTATTACAGGTTTTTTATTTAACTCAAAATGTGTATACATGTTTCTAGGCTTTATTATCAAGATGGCATCTGTTTTATCTGGAGGAGTAACAATTCAAAGATAATAACCATCTACATATATTTATATGACATCTGTTATAGCTGGAACAGTTACAATTCAAGTTTGTTTTCTACATTGAAAACAGCTGATTAAAGAATTCAGATATGGTCTAATAAACAAGATTCTTTAGTTATAGTTTCATCTGGCACAATCTGGAGTATATAAGTGATACTTAAGAAATCTTTCAGAGTCTGTCTATATTTTTGAGATGAAGTATTATGTACATTATTTACATTATTCGGACTATTGTCCTCATTTTTGTCACCATATTTATCACGTTTTGGCCATTGTATGCTCTGGCCTTCTTCAGGTGGTTGGAATGTCAAACTGAACCCTTTATTTCACTCACCGGGGTAGACTGTTCTAGTTCCATGTGCCATGTTTGATGGATGTCAGTTATCAGTTATCTCCTGTTAATTTCCCTCTGAAAGTTCTCCACTGACTTAACCGGGTATTAAACTATTGGCACAGTGGATAAAGGCGTTGGTTAGATCCAGTGACAGGACCCAAAGGATGTGAGTTCAATACCCGGTTAAGGCAGTGGAGAACTTTCAGAGGGAAATTAACAGGAGATAACTGATAACTGACATCCATCAAACATGGCACGTGGAACTAGAACAGTCTACCCCGGTGAGTGAAATAAAGGGTTCAGTTCGACATTCCAACCACCTGAAGAAGGCCGGAGAGTACAACGGCCGAAACGTTGTGATAAATATGGCGACAAAGATGAGGACAATAGTCCGAGTAATGTAAGGAAATCTTTGCTGCTACTTCTATCATTTTTCATATTTTTGCATATATGACAAAGTAATAAGCCAGCAAGGACTGTTTATGATTCTACATCTCTCTTTACTCTAATCATGACTGCAACTCTGCCCATATGCAGAATATAGCCTGACTATATAAGCTCATGACCAGAATTCCATACCTTTCAGCCAAGTGCCACTTGATCCCAAAAGTTTTTATTTATTTCTGTTCTTTTCCCAACTTTTGAACAGCAGGTGGTTGAGTTGAGACATCATTAGTAAACATCTATGTAGATGAAACCACTGTTTCTAAGAGCACATAAAAAAATCAAGATGTTTGTAGCTAATCTTTAACAGTTCAGTGGGGAAAAGGCTGGCTTGTAACTTTTATTAACTCAAAAACCAAGCTAATAACATTTCATCACCACCAATTAAGTTTTTAAGATGAACACTTGCACTCATAATGAACATCTATCGGATTTCAAGTTTCCTACAGAATTCATATTTACAATCCATTACCAAAGATGTTGGAAAATATAGTCTATTCATACTATGACTCCAGAAAGTACCAAAATCTGTCTTCCATGTTTTAACATTTTTCAGAAAATCAGATTAAATAGATTTGACAGTCCTGGGTTTTATAAAAATGGATTATTGCTGAAAATAGAAAGAAAGGAAAAAAAAGGGAAGATAGAATGGGCTGGAAAAAAGCTTTCAAGATTTGAACAGTCAAATAACGACCAGAAAATCATTTACATAGCCAAATATTTAACGATGGGGTGGAGATGATATGTTTTCCCCCCTCTCATAGAGATGCAATATCACAAGCCTATCATTGCCTCATCATTTCGATGGCAATTGTTCAGATGAGCTCCATTTGTTAGTTCCACCAATTCAGACATTTATTGCTTGGATGAAAGATGCTACTTTCACAGAATCAAAATGCCTTCATTTCCTCCATATTCCACTTGTAAGGAGGAAGTTTCACTCAATCAGCTTTTTTTCCAAGAACTACTACATTATAGAACAAACTCCCATGTGGATGCTTCTCTGAACAATTTAATCTTGACCTCTTCAAGTCATGGTTCAATCATTATCTATCTTCCTTATCCTCATAAACGTCACTTCTACAACTTCCTCTTACATTCACATCACACAACTCATTCAGTTACCCTCAACCTTGTGTGGCTCTGAGTGAAAAAAATTCTATTTTATTGTTGGTTGTCATAAAACTGTAGTCATTCCAATCCCAGATAAAATTATTTACTCTCCCCTTGACTATGTGGCTGTCCTAACTCACTAAGTGAGGACCTATTGTGCTACAGACATTTATATACCCAATTAAAAATCATGATTTTGAATGTTAATTTTGAAGGTATTCATTTGAAAAATTGTACAATATGATTCCTCTAACAATGTTGTTCTGTCCATTAGTATCTAAATCTAATAAGATTATAACATTTATTAGCAACTTGAAAAAAAAAGACTGGAAGAAGGCCAAAGAACATATCTGCCAAATCTAATAAAAACAACAAAGATGAAGATCATAATCCGAAAAATCATATTATAATTCTGCTTGTCCCTCCCTGAATTAGTGCGACTGTTACACCCTGTCATCACCTCATAAATAATGGACTATTCCATTTTGATCGTATGGAAAGATGGGAAAAAGATATCAGAGACCGGCAGTAGAGCCCGGTGTTGCCCGGGGATGTAACAGTAAGAGATAGATCAAGTATCGACCATCATAAAGACTGAAAAATAAAATTGACAAAGATTATTGTTTAAGGTTGACGGACACGCATGTCTTAATTAGTTTTTTTTTTTTGTTGTTGTTGTTGTTTTTTGTTTTTTACGAATTGGTCAAACCCAAACTCAAACAAAAACATTGTTTTCAATCGTTATGAGTCTATCAATTGAATAGAATTTTATTATAAACAATTGTCTTGTATATGGAATTTTTAAAGCATTCTGAATGTAAAAATAAAGAAAAAAGTGTGCAAGACAATAAGAAACACTACCTGCCAAAAAAAAAAAGTGAAGTTTTGTTTAAATCGGTTGAAAAATGTAGGAAATCCGATCCAATATATAAACGTACAGGCACACACACACACACACACACACACACACGCACAACCTGGGTTTTATAATAAGTATGATATTACTTGGTTTCAGTGAAAAATAGAAAGAAAGGAAAAAAGAAGGGAAGATAGAAGTGCTTAACGTCTGTTTCAATGAAATGGAAAAAGTTGTCAATTTCATATCTTTTCATTTGTGAACCCTTACTTCCTCAAATAACGACCAGAATTCACATTTATGATTGATATTGCAATATTTTGTTAAGCTCAAATATTTAACGATGCAACGGGGAAGGTTCTGCAGATATTGTCATAGAACTCTCCATAAGCTTATCCAATCTAAAAAATTAAGATTCGTCAGAAAATTAAAATAAAAATACTGAAATTTTCATGGGTTTTTCTAGTGTTTAATAATGAAACCGCTTCATTCCATAAATTTAAAAAATAATTTCCAGCATGAATAGGGGGAAAAAAAAAAAAAAAAGAATAATCTCATTTTTAAATATCGTTATGAATTATTTTGTTATTTTTGTTTCACTGCATATCAACAAAAGCAAAAGAACTATCTAATCTCTATATGAACAAAAATTTCTTTGTTGTAAAAAATGAGCAGAGTGTTATAAACTTATAAATTTATTTTTATCTAAAATATTTCTTTGCCGATAGGCAAAGAAAATCTCTAGTCGAACTAAATTGAATATATTTTTAAAATTTTTTCAAATTACAATCTTAGATTTATTTTCGACAAAGTTCTTCATACCGTCAAAAATGATGCATAAATCAACGAGTTTAGTTTGGCATAAAATAAATCGATATAAGAAGATTGTTCTGCGTCAATTTCTCAAGTGAATCATCTTTTTAGCTCGAGCATCGACCAACAGAGCTGACAGAATAACTAAACCACCAAGCCGCACTCTGAAATCTGTAGCTTAGTTATTATTAAATACATTGACAAGAAAGGAGATATAACACCTATTAGATTAAAATAAATAAATATTTCGGTGCAACATAAATGCTTTTTTTTTCTTTATTCTGCTTCTTAATTTGCCAACGTAGAAAACAATAGGTGTGTCAGTTATAATAATTAATAGTATTATTATAATACTAAATATTTGAGGGTCAGTTCTGTTTTGACGAGTGTTCATCAGTTTGCAGCATCGTTGAACAGTTATGGAAGATGGATATTCTCTTGTGTTGGGAGGATTTATTCATGTGATAGATTTTTGTGGGGATATTATTGTGGTTGTATTTTCTTTTCAGGAGACAATATAGTGATAGTATTGTGTTGTGTATAACATGTGATTCGCTGGGGACTGAAAAGTGCCACCGAGAGGAAACGAGACACGTCTTGTCCCTGTGATCCTGTGATTGAAACACGAAAGAAGAGTGGGTTTGTGTCATTTCCTTTTATACTGCTGTATACAATACCGCCTAGGTAATTATAAATTAAGGTGAAAATAAAAACTAGTCAGAAATGAATAATAATTGCTAACGATACTTATCTACTCTACCCAATCTCCAAGAAAAGATGTTGTAATGTCGCTATGTCTACAGAATTCATAGGGAGTCAAGTTGGTGCTTCCAGATAAAAACAGGATTCATTTTGGAGTAGATGAAAAATTACATACTGTAGAGATTATTTGAAAAAATGTGTAAGCCTTCATTCTGTGTTATTTAGGGTTCAATTCTACGTAGAGTATAACTGTAAATTAGAGTAGTAATTTAGGTATTTGAAATATTTAACAGCAAGTGACAAAGGAGATGACGATAATGAAAGTAATTTAACGTACTTATATAAGTGCAAGAATTTAACTACCAGAAA